TGTTTCACTCGCTTGTCTGTTTCACTCGCTTATCATGCACGTTATTCTTTAGAAATTTTACATAATAGTACTTAAGTATACTATAGATATATATCTCTATTCACCGAATACGGAATAAGACATAGTACTTAGTCCTACTATGTACGAGAAGAAGTGCCTATAACCGCGTCTAGAAGAGCGACTCTCGAAAAAGGGTTTTCTCCCTAGAGTATTCGAGCTGAGGAGATCGAGGTTATTATGTCCGTAACTAGGCGAATAGGGCGTCCGCTTATATGGTAGTTTAACGATTTACGAATCGATTGGTCGGTTATAGAGAGATAGCTAATATAATAGGGTAAGCTTTTTTAGAAGGGTAAGAAGCTTATCGTGAATATTCGTATTCGCTACATAGAGGTTAATATATTGATTTCGACTAATAGCCTAGCGACTAAAACCACTAAAGTTAGAAGGACTGCCATCTAATATATACTGGCCGACCGTACTGGTTAAATTGACGCCGAGGAAACTACAATAGGCTAGCCCTCTGCTTGGTGATATATCTATGCCTTGATGCGTTGTCCGGGACTACCGTATGTGTATAAGCCCTAGTGTTAGCACGACACCCAAACTCAGAAAAGGTATAAATTGAAAGGACACCATCTACGAACTCTCGTCAGGCATGTCGAGGATAAAAATCCTCTTGAATCTCACGACGACATCCCGGACAGCCTTCGACAACAAATCTATGCGGAAGAAGAACAATATATACGGAGGAAGCGTGTTGACGGTGGATCTATTTCTTTTGACAGAACCCTAATTCAGATCACCAATGTTCTACCACCTCAATCTTCGACAAAGTCAGAGTCCGTCTAGCGACCCGAAATCAAGCGTCTCGACATCGCTGGCCTCCACGATGTCAATTTACAAGACTACTGCGACTGGCTCAAGTCTCGGGTGATGAAGGAATCACACAAAGAAGAATATCAAAAAGCAGCTGACTTTCTTCTTACCTCTATAGTCGAGATAGGGAAATCGTTTTAGATCTCTTAGGCTGGGTACGGTAGACGGTCGTTGTGATTGGCGATAAAGGCGGCTATAGCGGTTTAATTAATACTAATAACGAGTTAGTTATCTATAAGCCGGAAATATAGTGGGAGAAGGAGGAACGTACTAGACTTGGGAAACGGGTTATAGTAGTGGAGAGCTTGAAAATAGGGGAGGACTGGTAAAGACGTGTTGATGAGAAAGACTAGCGCCAGCGTTATGGATAACGTTAGTGGATCACGGTTATGAAGTATATTTGTCATGTGAGGTATCTGTTTGTGAATTGAGCGAGTGCGGCGACTACTTGAACTAGGGCCGACAACATGGTTCGAGATGGTCCTTTGAATCTTCGCTACTAGTCACAATCCAAAAGAATACTAGTGTTCTGGCATGATAAAACGTCCCACCACATTCTAAATGCCAACAGTAGTTCAAAGTCTGACTGACACGGTTCGTACAGTTTGAGGATTGCGAGCCTTGTGGACCTCGGCTGTGGTGTTCAGGAACAGACTTGCGCGTCCCTCCTGTTCTGTAGCTCTCCTCGAGTCACCGCCATCAAAAGCTCTCTCTGATTATAAGAGTGAAATCCAACGATGGTAATTTCACACGAGACCCTACTGGTATAGGAGTCATAAGGAATGGCTCCTTTGCTACCGGCCCCAATTGCTGATTCTTCAGCGTTTACCTTCGACGGCCACCCGAATTTCATCAGGCTCACCGGCCAGCTACACTGCAGTGGATGTTGTCAACAGGCGGACTCGGCGCGCCACTGCCAAGTACGCTAATTTCAGCACTTGCTCAATACCTATGATCTAGGCTCTTCTTTAACGACGCTCCGTAGCGCTCAACGACGCTCGACGACGACGACGACGACCTTTTACTAATCGTTTACCACGTTCTCGAAGCCTCTATAGATTTATATCGACGTTAATAGGATAATAAGGCCTCTTAATAGGTAAGTGGATACGGTAGCCTGTTTATAGCTATAATAGTATAGATAGAGGCGCTTTAACAGCCCTGACAGGGTTGCGGAACGCCAGAGTAACACTATCGATTTAGTCGCCCTATGACAATACTAGAATGCTTTCTACGGGCACCCGTGGATATTCTCCTAAGCTAGGAAGGAAAGGTGTCTAAGGTGTCGAATTCAGAATAGTTTGACGATATTCAGATCCGGATATACGGCACTTTGCTCTATTTTCGGACGCTGACAAATACGATGCTTGGGTATATAACATGTCTTCTTTTACTTCACAAAGGATATTTGCTGCGATGCAAAGTATTCCAAACTGAAAGACCACTGTGATTTGTTCCAACGAACAGACCCGAGCAAAGGCAACCATGTCCACGTCTTCAGACCAGCCAAGGGCTAAAATCCAGGCATGGCTTGAGGCAGTAAGTGTTTACAGATCCTTGACGATTTCCGTAAAGGCAACCCTATCGTACACTGAGATGACTGACGTGCTGCTCCGTCTACAGTTCCACCGTTCAAGCGCAAGCCTTGACGCAGCGGCCTGGTGTGGTGAATTCATGACCGACGACATCGAACTCCAGTATGCCAACAACCCCGTCGTGAAAGGAGCCGACGTGCGAACTATGTTCGAACAAGTGTTTCCGCAGCTGGACTTGATGGAACACGAGATTATATACTTTGATTTCGTCGCACCGCGGATTTACCAGGCAGCGCGCATTCGTTACCGTATTAAAGGCGATGACGCCACTCAAGATATCGATATCCCAGGATTTGGCACGTTTTTCGTGCGTGAGGGTGCAGATGGGACTCTAAAGTGTTATCGGTCAGAGGTCTACCTTGATCCAAGCCCGGTGTTTGCAAGGATAGCTCAGAAGAGTGCTTAGCAGATGTGACGCGACCTTGTCTGAAGGGCCTTACGCGGGCATCGCTTGATCGGGGTCTAACGTGGTCTGTACTCTAGTGAGATGGAATAGTGTCGCCGGCTCGTAGAACTGGTCAACTTGACCGCTGAAAGAGATTGTCCTGTTTGTTAATCCATCCGTCCTTCGTCCCATCGGAAATCAAGAGCATGCTCAGCAACGCAATGGATCGGCAATCCACACATTCGCGTAGTCGGGGCAGGAGACGTTAGATACTATGACAGTGTAGGAAGAATGTTCTATTCTTCGCCGTCGACGTCTACCCATACAAGGCACGCACTCATCCACGAGGATGAATGGCGCGCAAGGCCAGGAATCAGGGGGCCCGGGGTAGGCACGTGAGCCGCGGCGGACTTCGCGCGAAATGCCAAGCCTCTGACCTTATTAAGACATCGACCGTGTTGCGACTGCGCATCACCAACAATCAACATCTCGATATTTCCATCCATTTTGACTCTATATTGTGATTGGAAAATAAGGCTATTAAAGTAACTTTCAAATCATATATTCTTCTTAAAGACTTTAGAGATATATATCTTAGATCCGTAGCTCTAAGTTATAAGTAAGTTATCACGAATCGTTCCTCCGAGAAGTTACGTGTTTAATTAGTAATACTAATAACCGAAAGAAGAGATTTTAATATATATACTAGAGTAAGAGTATTTATATTTAAAACGAAAACTATTAATAAAATATATTATCTAGTTTATAAATAAAGTTAACTACGAAAGAAAAGCTATAAATAATAAGTAAAGCCCTAACTATATAGATATAGGGAAATTATAGCGCTCTATTCTACTCTACTACTCTATTTCTAGAGTACTATAGAGCTATAGATCTCTTCTACTTTATTCTACTTTATTACTCTACTTCTAGAGTACTATAGAGCTATAGAGTATTCTTATGTTATATAATTCTCTATATATCCTTAGTCTCGGCTTATCTTCCTTCTAAGCCTTTTCTAGAGTTCCGTTCTATAATTATATAGAACACCCTATAGGTTAGTTTATAATAGGTATTTATATTTAGAACGAAAACTATTAATAAAATATATTACCTAGTTTATAAATAAAGTTAATTACAAAAGAAAAGTTATAAATAATAAGAAGATCTTATAACTATATAAATATAGAAAACTTATAGTACTTTATTCTACTTTATTACTCTACTTCTAGAGTACTCTAGAGCTATAGATCTCTTTATCGTTACGTAACTTCTCGCGTATCTTAGTCTCGGCTTATCTTCTTCTTAGATCCCTTTCCGGTTCCGTTCTCTATCTCGTGCGGAATACCCTATAGGTTAGTTCCTAATAAAGGGCTAGAAAGGTCGCTCGAACGGTCTCTATAGACTCGTTTTAGACGCGAGTATTTAGAGAATAAAGAATAAGCACGAGCTAGCTAGGAATAGGAATTAATTCTAGCTATTAGCGTTAGAAAGGTCTTAATTTAACTATATTAATATAATAACGTATTTACGAGATTTTTACTATTAGATAGTCGAGCGAGACTTTAGAGGAAGAAGATATTAAGAAAAGAGAGAACGGTTTTATTAATAATACGTTATATAATAGTAATAGAATAACAAGAGGAAATGACTTCGATTAGCCCGGTAAGGCGGGCGTAGATCTAAGATATAGACTTCGTTAAAGCGGCGAGGGATCTACGCGGCTGGTCTGCCCGATCGGGGTCGGCTCGCCGTAGTAGGTTTAGGCCGCGATTTCACCGATATCGAGAATACAGAGTAGTACGGATACTATTATTTACGCCATGGTGATTCCCGCTTCGCCGCCTACACCCTAACTTGGTACTCTGTAAACAAAGAGTGCTTTTTGACAAAGGCATCATCTGAGGCCTGCTCTTATTTGAAACAGACATCTCTCTTTCTCTCGGTCATTCAGCCTATCTGTATATGCATCCTGACTTTGTTGGCATCCGCCTGACGGCTTAGGAGGCTATCGTACAGTCCTGGCCCGTGCAGGCCCAGGCGACATCCAATGTCTGAGCTGATACCACATTGATGCGATAGCTTCCGTGCCCTGTAATACCTGGTAGATAAATATTCGTTCCAATTCCGGACTCTCCAGAGTTCGTGACAGCGTCCAGCCTTCATTCCATCCATCCATCCATCCATCCCGCACACCCACCACACAACCACCCCATCCCTTTCAATGGTAACTGTCTTGCCAGACAATGCCGATTACACGACAATATCACCTCCCATGCCAAAAACCCAAGACCGCATGATTGGTAGGAATGTGCCTATCCATGTACCGCATCCTGTCGTCTATTCGTAGTGAGCCCCAGCCCTTCAGCCTGTACTAACCAGCGACCGAGTAAACCCTACTCGGTCGCCGCACACTCGATAGGCTACCACTTCGACTCCGTCGTCGTCGCCTGCTGCCATTGCTGCGCACTTTTCGCTCCACCACCACCTCTTCTCGACCTCCTCGGAACGAGTTGGTCTGTATGGAATTGAAAAGGTATATCAAGAGGAGGGTCCCGAAGAAAGTTCCGAGAATGGCTCCCGCCAGTGTCCCCCCAGAATACTGCCCCGAGCATGACGGGCGCGACGAACTGGTCACAATCGTCGTGGTGGCCTGACGAGCGACAAGGACCGGCGTTGCTGGAAGGAGAGCAGATGCGAGAGTTGCGAGGGGAGCCTGACACAAGGAACTCTGTTAACACTGAAATGCGGATGCTGTTGGGACGGGCGCATACCATTGGAAGGGAGTATAGACTATAGACTGGGAAAGCCGTCTCTCAACCTCAATGCCAGGCTGCTCTGCCAGGAAGATAGATGTTGGGTGGGTCGCTCCTCGCAATGCCGACCTGTCTGTAGGTGCTCTGGAAGGACGACCTGGTTCCCAGGCCTGCCGCGGGGTCTGCCGGGGGGCCGAGTCCGCCTACTTATGTGTACGGATTCACCACGGACGCACTGTTGCTGTAGGGTGCAGCATCGTCAGATTAACAAGGCACTGGTTGAGGGATGGGCGCAACTTAAGGAGGAACACATGAAAATGAAGTGTTGATCGACAACCTTCCAGCATGCCCACCACGAATGCGACCGAAAGCATCTTACCAGGCAAAGCATGAGACAAGGGGGCCAAGTGGGCAGTAGTACCGTGCTACTGGCCCTGGTGGCCCTGTTGTACAGTTTGACGTCAACCAACCACGGTAAGCGCCTCGAGTCCAAACCGTCCAGCCTCCGGTCCGCTTCCGCTTCGGCGCATATTGTATTCCTAGGGTAACCCTTACACTGCCAGCATCATGCCAGGTAGGTGCCAGGGTCGGTCCATGACATTCCGTACTAGGTAGCCATGGCATGTATCTGGATGCCTTGTGTATAATAGCATACTCAACGCCTGTGGCAATCACTCGGTCATCAATACGGCATTATTTTGCCAGATCGTATCAACAGGCACCTAACGGGTAGCGCCCTCCACTAGAAGCGCCCCTAGAAAGAAGTGGAGGAATACAGAGTCTACGTACGTATTCCGTGATCGATTCCCACAGCGATAGATGGATGTACACTGACGTAGGTAGTGATCTATACTGCACAGTGCAGTCAGGTACACGGGTATTTCCGCTTTCTGGAACACTGCAGCATGCCTGTCTAGGTGCCTGTCTACCTCGGCCGAGGTACCCGAATCCCTGTCCTCAGTCATGTACTGTGTACTCTGTATGTACCCGGTCCAGCAGTACTCCGATGCCCCTCGCGGCACTGGCAGGTTTCCTCTACTCTGCAGGCACTGGTGCGGCAGTCAACTGGCTAGACCTGACAGAAGCATCGATGCCTCCTTCCCCTTAGGTGCCCCCTGACATGTGAGCATTTCTCTAGCGATCTGACTGTCGCTTCGTCCGTGGCTGAGAAACCCGTCGCACCCCTCAACGAAGAGAGAAGCCGACTTCAATAGCCGGCTTCAGGTTTCCGGCCGGACGAAGAACCGCATCCTGAGATCTGTCTATTCCCACTCACTTCTCATAAGCTGCAGTAACATGTCTATTGGGAGACAGGGCGAGAGCAATGAGACCATCTGGCTCGCAGTCCGATAGTAGGCTTGCTGTATGCTGTAGAGAAGATATATATCTTCCCTCAGGTTAACGCCACCGCCAAGTCCGGTGCTGTAGGCCCTCGACGTTGAAACGGCTGCTCTGCAGAACTTGTAGATTCTCCTTAGAGTCAAGGCTGGCCATGAACCCAAGGGTAGACTCGTCTCGGGAGAGCCAGCTTGAAGATCTGTGAAGCGAGTGCTCGGTAGCCCTCAGCTGAAAGGTACCGACCTATTCTCTTGACAATACCTTGCCAAGTTTGACGTCGTCAAAACTATTGCGGCGTCCCCAATTCCTTGGTTGGCGTTTGAGAAAGGCTCCAACGGCGCCCAGGTAGCCCTCATGCCGCAAAAAGTACGCCTGTTTCTGGCCTTGAGACCAGAATTTGATGGCATAGGAAAGTGTATTCATCGTCTGAATGTGCCCTCGGATGAAGGACCCCCCAAAGTATATGTGTTGCAGATTGTGCTTTTCGGATTGTAGGTAAGCAATTTGACCGATGTTGTTGGAGATCGCATACAGCAGACTCCGTGCCATGTCCTCGGTCTTGAAGCCTCCGAGTTGGTGATTGTCATCCCCATGGTCACCATTGAACAAGCCTTCTCCATCCTCGGCATTCCTTTCAGCCAGTCTCTTCATCCGGAACACTTTGCCAAAAGTGCTGGCGATAGTGGTGCTCTTCAGGCCAATTTTGCCGTAGTCTGTGCCATAAATGTCGCCCACCAGCATGTCGACCCCGGCATTGTCACCATTTTCGGCCAATCTGAGCATCTCGTCGAACGTGCGGGCGCCGGTCAGCAAGGAAAGTATCCCCCAGAACGTTCCGCCACCCAGTGATGTACCGCCCACGCGCTGGAATTCTCGACGACCAGACACTTTTACCATGGAAACGCCCGAACCAATGTTGACCAGAAGATATGGATAGACATCCGCGCGAGCTTCGGCGAATTGCATGGGCGCTTCTTCGCTATAGGTAAAGACTTCGCGGGGGATCTCTGTGATGAAGAAGTCGAGTCCTGTTCAAGCCATGGTCAGCCATATCGCAGCAAAGGACCCTTTCGACCTCACCGATGATAAGACACTCCATCTCATCCTCTTGAATCACATCCACATGAAGAACTTCCTTCATCCTATCGTAAAACTTGTACGCTCCTCCTCCTGTGGCCATGACGCACAGTTGTTGAGGGGTTGACCCATTGAGTTTAGATTGTGTCTGTTTAAGCTCTTGAATGAAGTCGATGCACAAATCAAGTCGGTCGGTCTCGAAGTTCACGAAATTCAGGCGACCGCCACCGTGGGTTGACCCTGTTTCGCGCGAGAAGTAGACAAGTTTCGCGAGGGAGCCACCGATCTGGGGCTCTTAGTTAGTCTCGAGAGGACTTTGTAGGATCGTTTGGTAGAGAACGTACGTCCACAGCGACATGGCTAACCACGTCCGTGTGATGTGGCAGCCTGATGTCCTTGTACTCCCGATGCACGTATTCGCTTCCCGTACCATTCCTGTCGTCTCGCTCGTCGTTGACAATGAAAGCGCCCTCGACATTGATTTTGACCGAGGCAGGGTGCGGAGGTGCCCGCGGCACGCGACGGGGAGCATCGCCTTCCACGATTGCAGTGGTCTCCTGGGAGTCGCCATATGTAGGTACCCCTTCTAATGTCGTCATTGCAGGAAAGTATGGTGGAAATGGGACAGAATGTCCATATGAGAGGGGCTCTGACTGGTGGCTCCTTGCAACTGCGGCGACGTCTATGGACGCTTTAGATGTATTAACGAGAAAAGGCCATTTTGATTAGTATCTGAAATACTGCAGATCCGGCCGCCCGAGATCGTACGAGTCTGACTGACCAGATACCCGGACTCCAATGGCACAGAAACGCTGACCGAAAATCGAGAACAAAAGCGGCTGGCTTCACTCATAGGTAGGTAGTACTCCGTAGTGGTACAGTAATTAGGCGGGGCTTAGGGCCTTAGGCTTACAGTAGGAGGCCTCGGTGCGCCGCATCTTTTTTTTGCTGGTCAAGTTCATGCCTAAACTCTGACGGTGCCGCTAAACCCCGCGGGGCATTCTACAGAGTAACATAACCGAAAATGAACGCCGAGAGGGCGCCGCAGTCGGAAATCTACATTGTTACAGAACCACATCCTACCGTAGCATTATCATAATGTGACCTGCGATGCACTCTCAGTGCAATGGTTACGCGTGTCAGTTCGTTAAAGTCAAAGAGACGTGTTCTGGATCTCCGGCTCGTTAACTCTGAGGATTCTGATCAAGATCTAAAGGGTCACACGAGCAACACCCTCTTTCGATGCAGTTCCGCACAGCTTAGCCAACGCGCTCTCTCTTGTCCGGTGGCCGAGGCTATCCCAAGCAATCCACAACAACTGCGAACCCTCCTAGGTAACTCCGAATGCTCGGAGAACGACACAAGCTTAGTGTTGTGGATTCGTTTGTATTGTTCACCCCCCGGTGATCATATTGTATTCTTAGGTGCTGATTCCCTCAACGCACAACATGCTGACCAACCCAAATGCCAAAGCCACCCTCAAAAGAGGCGTAGCCACGCCGGCTGAGTTATTGTTTCCTGGCTGTGAGGTAGGATCTGAGATGGCAGGTACTGTGGTGGCTGTCCCTACAACCGTTGCTTGAGAACATTCTTCGGGAGTAGATCCCTAAACGTGGTCAGATCATGGAGAGGAAGGGCACAATGGCTGCACGGGCAAGAGTCATACTGGCTGACAGCACAGAGCGGCGGCGACGCCAGTACCACATTGGAATCCTCCACTGCAAACACCTGGTCACACTGTTAGCAGAGCAAAGCAGAGCAGAAAGACCGACGTACCGCTACCATCGGCACAACAGACATCACCGACGCTCGTGTCGACGCAACTTTCCCCACTGAAATAGACGCAAAGACTGCTGCCAGCTGGACAGTCGATGTTAGATTGACGGCGAGTGATCTTTTCGGTACTGTTGGCGTCAACCAGGAAGGTTCCGAAAAACACAAAGATGGTTTGGATGGCAAAGACGAGCCTCATGATTGATAACTCCAGTGTAGATTGCTGGGAAGGATGACCTTCCATAATGTCTCTGGAGGGCGATTCTCGTACATGTATTTCCTGAGCCGAGCTGCATGTAATATATTGGACTGAGACCACGGAGAGACATATTGGTGAATGTGATACGAGCGAGTCGGGCTTTACTCAAATGCTAAGCAGTCTAATCTCCCTCACGATATCATGGCATTGAACAGAAGGGCGAGAGGAAGCCTGATCGCTAGAACAGTGCATTTCGACCGGTCCAAGCTGGCCGCGAGAGCGCAAATAAAAGTGTAAGGACTCTCAAGAGCTTTGCCAATACCAAGTACGGAGTACCTACCTACTAACTACCTAACTATGTAGTTATTAGCACAAGCAGGGTGTTGAGGTCTCGTCAGGCTGCGTCCAGACTCCAGACTGTGCCTCGTGCGGAGAAACAGTTCCAGCGCCAGTTCTGCGCCTGATCCACTTGCTCTGTTATTTTCATCACAAAAAAACATCTCCGCAGCCAGCCATGTGAACGCAAGTTACACGTTCTCAGCAAAAGATAATGGCCGAACAGAAGAAGAAGATGAAAGGCCACAAAGTGGCTGGGACCAAACGCAGTCTCAACGATGCCGCTGACAGTGGCCTCGAGCCACCGACGAAGCGGGCGGCACCCGAAGCCGCAATGCGACAACAACAAACCGAAGTTGATGAAACAATCGCCATGATGGACCCGGCATTGCTGGCTGACCATTTTGCCAAATTCGTCCGAAAGAGCTTTCCTGACAGCAGTTCGATCGAGCTGGAAGATCAATTCTTGCCCACAAAAGCCTTTCTCAACACCTCCGACTTCAACAAGCGCCACACAGCAGTGAATCTGCCAGAGTTTCTGGAGAAGTTCTCCGACAAGGGCAAGACCGGATTGTCTTCCTGCGATGACAAGGCCTCGCCTCATACTCTGGTAGTCACGTCCTCGGGAATTCGTACTGCGGACCTCACACGAGAATTACGCGTTTTCAACAACGAAAATGTCAAGGTCGCCAAATTGATTGCGAAACATATGAAGCTGAAAGATAATGTGGAATACATGCAGAAAACAAGAGTTGGAATCGCTATCGGAACACCAGGCAGACTCAAGGATCTTATTGACGCAGGGGCTCTTAAGCCGAAGGGCATACGGAGGATAGTGGTGGACGGGTCATATCGCGACCAGAAAAAGAGAACGATCTTTGAGATGAATGAGCTGTTTCAGCCCTTGATGACACTGCTCAACTCCGATGAGCTCCGTCAACGATACGGGACCGATGACAAGATTGATATTCTGGTCTTCTGAATTACGGGTACATCTTTGGAATCTGGAAGAGGGAGCGAACAAGAAGCGGCCGAAAAGGATGCTAAGCGCACTCTCGAACTCGAGATTGCCTGAAGCAGGCGCCGAAAGGACACCTGAGTTTCAAAAGATGTTCGTCTTGCAGCTGCCAGGTGCGCTTTACAATAGCAAACAAAATGCAGTTACCAACAGTGAGTATTTAGGAGGGTGCGTGCTTGTTTGAAGTTTGAAACTAACGAGAGTCGCTTATTCCGGAGTCTAGAAGATGTCCCTTGCCCCCGGTCAGCAACTTCTTGGTTCCTGGTGGTTCCCTGTCACTTGTGTTCGGTTACTGAGCCGGATGGTTGCTTCGAAACAGTCCGCGTTCTGGGTGGGTTGAATCTTTTCTCCGCACATGTCAAACTGACACGACCACGACCCACCCGACGCCCACGAAATCTGCATCTGCATCCGCCTGCGGTCCTGAGGTCGCAATCCTTCCCTACGAGCTTCACCACTTGACCACTTGGAACTGGCCTGGACCATCATAGCTTCTCGGCTCTATTTTGCGAAACCACGTTCTGATGTGCAATGGCTTCCTATTTCTGAGTCTCCCTGCTCAATCGCACAATATTACCTGGAATTGAAAAGTGCAGTGTGCGACGTTCAGTCAATCAATCCTTCACCTGCTTGACCATCCGAGGTCCGGAGTATTACAATATTCAAGATGAGCTACCAGCAGTTCCTGGAGTCAACGGCGAAATCTGCTCTAAAAACGCCCTCTCCGGGCTCTATCCACCGTAAACCACCCAGCGCACTCGGCGCACCCAGCGCACCCAGCCCATCGGCCGCAGCCTCCGGTTCACCGTCCATACATTCCAGCGTCACTCGAAACACAACAGTAAACTCGTCGAAGACTCCTTTTGTTCCCACGCCTCCGCCACGTTCTCCTGCCCGTGCGACTGCACCGACTACGCCGCCTCCAAGAAGCCACACGACTCGCACGCCATTGACCAAGACCCAGATCGACAGTGCCCTGAAAGCATGTCTCGATTTGCAATACACAGCGACATCCCTCCATGCTAAGCGGCCTTTCGCAGCTCTCCTGCTTGCGCCCGATAACACCACGATTCTCTTGACGCATTTCTCCATTTCGCACTTCCAGCACGCCGAGACCGAACTTGCTCGATTGGCCGCCACTCACTTTTCGCAAAAGTACCTCGCTTCATGCACCCTGGTGTCGACATGGGAGCCTTGCGCCATGTGCACGGGGACGCTGTACTGGAGCAACATCGGACGGGTGGTCTATGCGGCCAGCGAGTCCAAGCTGCGAGAATTGACGGGCGGGAACAATGAGGAGAACATGACAATGTCGCTTCCCTGTCGGGAGGTGTTGAAGGGCGGCCAGAAAGATGTCGAAGTGATCGGGCCTGTCGGCGAGTGGGAGGAGAAGGTGGTGGAGCAGAGCGCGAAATGGTGGAACGAGCATCAGACGGAAGCGGAAGAGACGGTCAAGAGGGCGAGGGAGGATAGTGTGAATGGAAGCGAGAGGCCCGGAAGTCTGTCCAGCGTGCAGCAGAGCACACCGACGACCTGGACGGGCGAAGACAGCGTGCTGAGCAGCATTGACGACGAGGGGGAATATAAAGCCGAGTTGGATATTGACTGGATGAGGTAGGACCATAAAGAGTGGGCTTGGGCTTACATTTGCGTCTGCCGGGCCGGGCTGGGCTGTGACGTTCCGGTGGAAAGCCCCAACTGTGTTGAGTTGTATAGATATGCAAATACGATATGCAAATATGCAAACATGCAAATACTACCTCGGTGGAAGAAGTCACATCATGCATTTACCAGGTAGGTGGGTGTAGGCATATGTTCAAGTTTAAATATGTAAATATGATATGTAAATATGTAAATACTAGCTCGGTGGAAGAAGTCACTTCATGCATTTATTTACCAGGTAGGTGCCCGGTAGGTGTAGGTAGGTATATGTCCAAGGTTCAGTATCTAACGTAGCAGAAAGCAGATGGCACGATGGAGGTACAGTGCGAGTAGAGGTGCGAGTAGAGTTGGCGGAGGCTCTTCATTCACATCGACTGGCTTAGAGGCTCGGCACATTCCATTGTTCACGCAACTCGTCGAGCCAGTCTTTGATGTCGACAACCTCCCCTCCGACTCTTTGGCCATCGACCAGAGAACCACGCACTTTGACCCTTCCCTGGCCGACGGCAAGAGCCTCTTCATCGCTCCACACCGGCACATGCAGCCAACTGTGAACGGGATGACAGATGAAGCGTTCCAGCTTGCCCGTTCTCACTTTCTCGAGACAGTCTCCCGTGAATTGGGTGTCCGGGCAAAAGCGGCAGATGTACATGTCCGAGGCATATGTCCAATAGTGACCGCAGCCACCGTCGCATCGGTATGTGAGTGGTCCTTCGCGCTGGTGTTCGTGTTGGCCCTCTGATATAGATCGGGTGTCTTCAACGCTCTCTGGCTCTGGCTCTGGCTCTGACTCCTTGGCTCCTTCTGACTCTGAATGCCCATCTTCCTCCTTGCTGCGGAACAAATCGCTAGGGCCAAGAAGGGACCAGGCACTCAGGGCGTTAAGATCATCACCGACGTGCATGAGAATATTGGCCAGATATTTGTAGCCGTAATAATCATTGTCCGGGTCTTGATCTGACAGGATTTCCAATGCCATTATCATATCGTCCATGAATAGCGCCCGCGCCTTGTCGAGCTTGCCTTGTTGCACGTAGCACGCGGCAAGATAGGAATCTGGCTTGAAACTGTGACTCCAGTTGGCCGATTGCCGTGAGATGCGCAATAGCTTGCTGAAATGTTGCTCGTGCTCGTCGTCTCCGCCTTGAAGACTGACTTGTCTGGACTGATTGATAGACTGATTGAAATAATATTGTGTCATATACCGTGCCGCGTAATCCTGGGTTCTCATCAAGTGGTATTGAAAGGTAAGGTAGAGAGACATGCAATCTTCCCAGCTACGGGCAGCTTGCTGAATCCGGTTGTTATCAGCTGAACCACGTGCAAGGATGATACCTTGATAGAGCAGGAGTATGCCTTCGCCAACCGTGTTGTTGTTCTTTCTAGCATCGACAATAGCACTCTGAAGAGCCTCGAGGGTAAACTGACTGAAGGTTTGGTCTGCACCGGCCAAGATGACAATAATGTTCATCACCCCCAGATGACCCTCATCGTCTTCGGTTTCAGCAAGATACTGGAGCAGAGAGACGAATATGCTGGTGTCTCGGTCTCTAACCCCGGTCGTAACGTCTTGACCTGGACTTCCAAGAAGAGATTTCCTTGCATCTTCCAACTTGTTCTGTTTGTAGAGAAGCTGGAGAAGATCACAGTGTGTTCCATGCTCGTAGGGATCAACCTCCAATGCCTCTTGATAGAGGGCGAGTGTTTTATCAAGTTGATTGAGCCCTTTCTGCCAGGAGGCGAGTTGCTTCACATTCTCCACGAGCATCCGGCACTCAACGTCGGACGCTGAGCCACTCTTGAAAAGACCTCGCAGAACTGTAAGGACCGTCTCCATCTCGTCGCAGGCCAACATTTTCAGCTCCTCACTGTTGTCGGCCATGCCGAGCTCAAAGGTTGCAACGGCCCAGCCCTGGTTGGCCGTCCAACGAGTGTCTGGCAAGTTTTTGGCTTTCTCAAACCTGTCGCGTGCGGCGGCATATTCAGAAAACGCGTAACAAGTGTCTCCGAGCCGTTCATACCACAATGAGTTCAAGCTTTCTTCTTTAATGCCTAGTGCCTCTTGAGCCCACGTCGCGGCCGAGGCTATGCGCTCGACGTCCGCAGCCTCGTCTTCATCTGCTTTCGAACCCTCAGAGCCTCCAGATTTGCTCGAGCCGCTCGAACTACTCGAACCACTGGAGACGGATGAAGATCTGGATTTCATAACCTTTGTCTTTTGCTTCTGTGTGTCAGCGCTACAGCAGGCCTGCGATAAAGCGAAGCCAACTTACCAAAGCGATGAACCGATCTACCCAAGAAAAGCTCTGGCGAGCACGCCATGCAGAGTCTTGCAGCCAATGCCTCGCCACCATGATTGTCATCGGTCTGTAGAAGCCTCCTCGACCGTCAGCCCGGGAAGCGTATTGTCTGATCCAACGCCTTTCTCTGGGCTCCAGCACTTCTCTTGTTTTGAAGTCGTCCAGCCATGATTGAATGGTAAAGACAGCGTCGTTGCTGAGCCAGGATTCGTGTATGTCGTCACTGGTGTCCCAGAATTTCTCCATCCCCTCGACATCACTGAGCAGATCGACAAGCCTCTTCGCAATAGTTCGTCGCTCCAGGTTTCCCAACTTCTTCTCACCGAGGGCTTCTCGCACTGAGTCGAGATGCAAAGGGAGGTACAACAGTGCGTAATAAACAAGAGGCTTTGTTCTCTCGTCTGGATCATCACATAGCAACTTAAGGAGGTGGGCAGCCAGGTGGTAATGTGCTCGGGCCTCTTCACACTCGATTACTCCTTTCCCATCGTTGCCGGTTTTGAGGGGGGTAAAATCAAATCTACCGATGCCCACTCTTTCAGTGAGATCCCATAAGAATCGTTGCACGGTAGGAGTGTCTGCCTGATTAATAGATATCGTCATTGTTATCTTTGCAGCGTCGATATCAAGGGCAGCTTCTCGACCTGGAATGCCCCTATCGGATCCTGCAAATAGTTTTGAAATGTCCCAGTCAACCCTAACGGTACCGCCTTCCAGATGTAGGACTCTCATATATTTGTTTTTAAGCTTCTTCTCGAAAGCCTGCAATGGTGCGCGACCTGAGCTCAAGAAAAGGGCTGCCCTCAACTCATCAACGCTGAAGTAGGTGTAGCCGAATATGGTCCACTTGAGCAGCTCATTGAGCTGTTCGATGTCATGAGCATTCAGCGATGCATTAAGATCACCGATGACCTTGTGAGCTAACTTGTCAACGTCCTCAGCAGTGTCCTCAGCTAGAATGGTTTCGACATCATCCAAGTACGCATCGGACTCGACTGCCTCCCGGACGCGCTCGAGTTTCTGCTGAACGGCTGAAAACGAGCCTTGAGCCTTCGTCGGCAGCGTTTTTCGGATCGATTTGAGAAGATCCATCATCTCCACGTGCCCGCCTTGAAGCACGTCATCCCCTTCAAGTTCTTGTTCAAGATACAGCATGATGTCGGGCTCGTTGTAATCTGAAGTAGGAATCGTGCCTGCCGGGGTGGTATATTGCCTAGTGTTTTGGAATGTCTTGACCTTCCCGGTGACAAGGAATCGCAATCGAGCTTTGGCGATGGCCTGACCTTCATCACGCACTGCCTTCACCAGCTTGAAGAATTTGGTAGTGTTACTGTCGGAAAGCTCATCGACTCCATCAAATAGAAGGACAATATGAGCCTCTTCCTTCATCTGCGCGTATTTGGAGAGTTGCAACTTATCCCACCACTGCTTCTCAAACAACTCTTTGCCAGGATCTGGTGGTTTGAAATCATCCTTGAGGGCTGCCATTTCTTTCGAATATGTCTTGTATTGACCAGCGAGTTGCAGAGCCATCGATTTGAGTGCCGAAACAACGTCGTCTCTGTTCTTCTCTTTGTTACTCTTCGCATCATGTCCACTGAATTTGTAGTAAGCAATGGCGACAGTGGGATCTTGGTCACGGAGGTCCTCATCAATGGCCGCCAACAAGTAGGACTTGCCGGTTTTGGGCTCTCCACAGAGCAGGAGCAGAGGGAGTTGGTCAGTATCGGTCTTCCATTCCTTGTACTCCTGCATTTCCATCAACCATTGAGCGCTCCCTTTGAGGCGATTGTCTTTCATCCTTTGAATTGCTCTTCTCGCCTCCTGTGCGGGCTCTTCAGTCATCCCCAGCATCTTGGCCATCGTATCAACGCGTTCCGAGGTAATTCTCTGCAATTTACGATCACTTAGATCGGCAACTAGAGTCTTGACCCCGACCTCTATATTGCCTATTTTCTCCGCAGATTCGTACTGACGCCTCAGGGCCTCGGCCAGTTTGTCTTCATTGCTGAGGACATGCTGTAACGTGACGGCTTCGGTTACATGACTCTGCTTGTCGATCAAAGCCTTGAATTCGACCAATTCGGCTCGGACGCCAGAATCATCTTTCAGGAAGGCAACCTTGGCCCCAATCTTGATGTGATGTAGAACACCACCTTCGATGATCTTGATGGAAAGCCCACATATCCTGACAACCGACATCATGAGCTTGTGAGTCCCGTCTCTCAAGTCAGGATCGAGCTCGGAGAAGTTCTCATAAATCTTGAATAGAGCGAGAAAGTGCGAGACCTCTTCAAAGAGATTTCCAATGCCTTCGTAGACATCTGCAATTTTGTTCGGAACATCAATCAGGAAGGAAATGGCGTTGAAACACAGGGTAGCAGGTCCGAAGACAACGGAAGCACCGTCGGCTACTAGACCACCCAGAAGTTGAATGCAGTTGAGCACTTTGCTGATTGTGTCCCGAATTTTATTCTTGTTGCTCGTGCTAGACTCCCTTGCACTGCCGGGTTGTGGTTGATACTTTTCTTCAAGCTCTCGCAGCACATCTTCCAGTCTTTTCCCCTGGTCTGCTCTGAGATTTTTTCTCGTTAATCGGCTGAACTCGAGTTCGGCTTGCTGCCACATGAACTGAAGCTCTAGCTCTGCCGTAGTTAGGGCAGTCCTGCCGGGATATTTCGCTGACATGGTGATTGCTCTTGAGTTTGAATTTGACCAAGTTTTTGATGTTCCTAGGATGGATTCGAAATAGCTAGCAACGGCTGTTGAGCCGGCGACACACTGTCATCAAGACATGGAGAGAGAAGAGATGTAAAAAGCATCCAGCCTTCCTGGGGAGGCGAGGGTTAAGATCATATCCGGAGCTCCTTGGGTGCTTAGGAGGCTTTGTTTCAGCCCCCATCGAAGCGCATGTTGGCTCTCTGAGGCGTCCAATCAGCCGGTGACCGGGCGGTCATACAGCTGGCAAGCTGGCAATGGCGGACTTATTCCGAAGCGAGATTTTGATTCGGCAGTCATGCTGCTATGGACGACCTGCAGGTTTAGCCTGGTGAGGTTGAACCAGTGACGGCTCGGACGCAACGCTGCTGTCCTCTACGCCGTCAGAAGATGATTGTTGGTGTGTGTGGTGTAAAAGCAAACTATGTAATGACCGGTAGAGCTAAGGTCCCTAGTGGTAACACCATGTAAGGAAGGTGTTGTGCTGTGCACTTTGGCCTTCCTCGATTGGCCCTCCATTCAAGTCATAATTATGGAGAGCGTCCAGGAATACTAGGTATGCTGTGTGTATGCGTAGCAAGTCCCTATCGTATAGGGATAGATAGGCGGGATCGATTCAGCCGTCTAAGGCGCGCTTGCGGTCCTTCTTGATCTTCCGTCTCCAGCCATTGACGTCCTTGCCGGTCTCGAGGTCTCGGAGAGCGTCCATCCTGGCCTCGGCGACGTCCTTCAAGGTCCGACCTTTGACGACCCTGGTCTCGACGTTCACTCCCTCCTCGGTCCACTCGACCATCTTGGTGCCGACGTACTCCTCGATGGCTAGGATCAAAGCGACATCGCGCTGGCCGACAAAGGTGATGCTGGTGCCCTTTCGACCCGCTCTAGCCGTTCGACCAACCCGGTGGACATAGTCGGTAGGGTTACGCGGAACGTCGTAGTTGATGACATACTCGACGTCGGGGATGTCGAGACCTCGAGATGCCACGTCGGTGGCAATGAGGATGCGCGCTTTGCGTGCGCGGAAGTCTGCCAAATTGCGATTCCGCTGGATCTGGGCGAGCTCCGAGTGCAGCGCAGTCACTGAATGAGAGAGCTGGAGGAGTGTGCGGTGCAGGATGTCGGCGGTGGCTGTGCGGTTGACGAAGATGATGATGCTCGGTTCGGGCGGCTTTGTCATGGACGGCACGAGGAGCAGGACGTGCAGGAACGCATCCTTGTGTGTCATGGGGATCTGGAGATACGTTTGCGACAGCGTCGATGGGATCAGGCTGGATACGCTCGACGGGTCAGAGGCATCTGTGATTTCAGAGACGAAAACGGGCGGGCGGCCCTGGGGCCGCGGGAGTTCCTTCAGCGCCCGAACCTCCGGAGTCACGGTGGCGGTGAAGAGCAGGGTCAAGCGAGCCGACGACGGCGGGAGGGCGGAGAGGCAGGTGTTGAGATCCGGTAGCATCGAGCCTCGTCCGGGGGCGAGGAGGCGGTCAGCTTCGTCGAGGACCACGACTCTGGCCCGCGTCAGGCCGATGACCGTGTCTTTGCCCGAGTTGAGGATATGGTCTGCCAATCGACCGGGTGTGGCCACGACAATATGCGGCCGCCGGGCGAGGGCCACGGCCTGTGGTCTCATGTCGGTGCCGCCAGTGATCAGGACGGTTTTCAGGTTCTGCGGCGTGCCCAGCGCCTGGAACTGTTCGTAGATCTGTAGCGCCAGCTCGCGTGTCGGCGTGAGTACCAGGGCATAGATACCGAACGGATCCTCGGCCCATTTCTGGAGGATGGGAACCGCAAATGCCACCGTCTTGCCCGTTCCAGTCCTGGATCCTCCTATGCAGTCTCGCCCTTTGAGGATCTCCGGTATACATGCTCTTTGGATCTCGGTCGGGTTCTGGATCGCCATGGCCGCAAGCGAACGCACCAGCCATGGCGCCACGTTCAGTGACTCGAAGGTGGAGGATGTAGTGGGAACAGAGGGGCCTGTTCTTGACGGTGTCAAGCCGTCATGTAGCAGAGGAGGAGGAGCAGCCGACTTCCTCACTCTAGAAAGCGATGTTGCTGGAATCGTCGACTGACCAAGTTCGGCGCTGTCGTGCGAGAGACGCCTGCGCTTGGGCGGCGGGTCGGGAAAATCTGCTTCGCTTGCAGAATCATTGTCATTGCGGGAAGTGTTGGACTGTGAGTCGATATCATCCGGCGGGCTGATTGTCGAGGGCGCCATGTCGGCGGGTTGAAGTTGTTGGTGGAATCTGCTGGTTGAGTTGAAAAGGTGCCAGAAGATTTTTTGGCTCTGCGGAGTGAAGTTGGAGTTGGAGATGGAGGGTCCAGGTGATCGCCGACCAAGCAGAGTACGTACTGTATCTGACTTACCCATGTATAGGTACCTACCAGGTACCTGGTAATAACTAATGCTCCAGATGCCCGATAGGTACTTACCTGTACCTACAGTATTAGGCAGTACGTACTCCGTACTCCGTACTGTATCTTGTACAGACCGCCCCCAACTACCAGTGTCTGTAGTACGGGGTATGGAGTACAATAGTATGTGGGATGAACATGACCTCTGATCTCGAGTCGAGATCCAAGTGATTCTAGCACTACAACACTACCTAGGATCCTATATCCAGTCTCCTATATCCTGTATCCAGACTCCAGTCTCCAGTTTCCAATATCCGCACTCTACGGATATACAAAGACACAGACTGCAGCAATGTCTACCCCCACCGACGGAAATGTCACTGTCAGCCACCTTCAACCGATCATTCTCCACGCTCACCCTACATCGCCCAACCCGCACAAGATTGCCATCGCGCTCGAATACCTTCGGGTTCCGTACACTGTGCGACTATGGCAGTTCGGCGACGATGCCCGGCGGGGCGTGAAGGGAGAAGACTTCCTTCGCATCACGCCGAATGGTCGAGTGCCAGCGATTGAAGACTCGAACACCGGCGTCGTCGCGTGGGAAAGCGGCGCCATCATGAACTACCTCAAGCGCCAGTACGACACGACCAACGTGCTCGGGCCTAAGTCCAAAGGCAAGGAATTCTCCGAACAGGACCGAGTCGACTTGGAGACCTGGGAGTACTTGCTCTTGACTACGCTCGCGCCCATGACTGGCCAAGCTGTGTGGTTCCGGTGAGTACACGCACATACACGCATGTATATATACACATAACAAATGTACAATGTACACACACACACACACACACACACACACGTGTTGAGTTATCCATGTCCGAACCATGTTGTGACGTGTAAACGACTTGAAAAACGGATACATGTCATAGGCGTGCTGGAGGGCTTAGGCCAACTTGGAGAAGCGTGGACAGGTACCTACCTATACTGTACAATGCGCTGACATCGAGTTCCGAGTCCAACAGGCACTATCATGTCCCCAGGAACGAGGATGCTCTCGACCGGTACACGAAGCAGGTATACCACTACCTAGGCGTGCTAGAGGGCCAACTTGGAAGAAGCGGAGGCCGAGGCACAGGCGAAGGCAGAGGCGAAGGCACGGGAGGAGTTACGGGCGGAGGCACCGACACAGGCAAGGGCACAGGTATGAGTATGAGTATCCTTCCCGGTGGCATTTCTTCTGTCGACTGCCACTTTTTCCCGTGGGTACGACCGTTCGAATACGTCGGGATCTCGCTGGACGGATTCCCCCTGGTGTCGAAATGGTGCGGTTTCATGGCAGAGCAGCAGGAGGTCAAGGACGCTTATCAGAAGATGCTGGATGCCACAGCTCTACAGGATCCTGCGGCTACGAGCCGTGGACTCCAGCCTGACGAGGAGTTGTTGCGTGAAGTGCAGTCGAGGACTCCATGGCGAGGAGCTGTTGCGTGAGGGTCGGTTGAGGACTCCAGCCTGAGGAGGAGCGTGAGGTACAGGTGCAGGTGCAGGCGCGGGCGAAGTGAGGGTTAGGGTTAGGGTTAGGGTTAGAGCAAAGTGAGGTTATTTCGTATTTATAGGTGGTATCAGAAGCTACTGCTCGGCATATAGACTTGTCAGAGGTTGAAATGTTCCATGTTCTCTACCAAGGGGGTATATATGTGTTCTCTATCAAAGGGTCAAAGGGGTATAGGGGAGCCCATACTATATAGTAGACCTGTCAAAGGTTGAAACGTTCCATGTTCTCTATCAAAGGGTCAAAGGGGTATAGGGGAGCCCATAGTATATAGTAGACCTGGCCCTGTCAAAGGTCAAATGTTCCATGTTCTATATTCTCTATCAAGGGTCAAAGGGGTACTGTATATATAGAGGGAGCCCAGACCATATAGCAGACCTGTCAAAGGTTCTATCAAAGGGATACATGTACTGTATATACATATAAGGGGAGCCTAGGCCCAGACTACATATATAGGCTAAGGCGTGCCTATACCAGCCCCAAGCCTTCTTGTTAAAGGGCAAGGCTCCTCAGGCTTAGGCTAGGAATGTAAGTTAGTGCCTACAGTAAGTTTGACAAGACCATGGACCATAGAGTATACTAACTATATAGATACCTCATCTTAAAGAATTCCGGTGTCCGGTGTCCAGTGTATCGTCTATTGGGTCTTCTAACTCGGGTGTGTGTAGTACGTACATAAGGTACCTATTGAGTCATTCGGGGTGCGGAAGGAGAACGAGATAGTGTACAAGGTACATACATACATATATATATACATATAGACTACGTATCCAGTGTCCATTGTCCATCCATCCATTGTCCATCTAGCGTCCAGTGTCCATCTAGCATCTGTTATCCATCCAATGTCTATGCACTGTCCTGTCCATCGTCCAGTCCACTACCACACTCCAGTCGTGGGGATTTCCCGACGTCGGCTCTCACCCACCGTGCAGTGTGCAGATCACAGGCGAACAGGGGCCAGATCCGAGTCCTAAGCATTAGCCTCCTGAGCCTTCATTCGTCTGGACTGGAGACTGGAGGCTGGAGGTTGGAGGGGTTGACATTTCACATTCCCCGTGGGATGGTTCATGATTGACATGATATCCATCCATCCATCCATCCATCCGATCCGACCCCACGTCCACGTCCACGGATCAGTACTGTGTGACTCGAGGTCGTCTTCCCTAATTGGATATAGATAGTTGGATAGTTGAACCAATACAAGTACTCTAGGATGAGGACCCGTACAGCATCCGCACAGGAATTCCTGCTGATGGTGCACAATCATAACCAGAATCAGGATCAGAATCAGAATCAGAATCAGAATCAGAATCAGAATCAGAATCATATCATAATTACCGAGTATGTATGTATGTATAGACTACTATGGATACATGAGAGCGGTTAATGCTCAAGGCTGGTCATGGATTTTGTTGCAGCAGTATTAAATATGAGGAGTCATGCTATAAGACTATCCGTATATAAATTAGCTTTATTTGGATGGCTTGGTTGGTTGGGATTGCATTGTATTGCATTGCAATATATACATGTAAACATACGCTAGGTCAAGGCTTGGTTGGTTGGATTGCATTATGTGCAATATGTACGCATACGCAGGTCAAGGCTTGGTTGGTTGTTTGCATTGTATTGTACGTATTGCAATATGTACGTACCTATACATACGCTAGGAGTATATGTCATGACCTCCAGGGCTAAGGCCCAGATTAGATTATTCTTGGTCATTATCGTTGTCGTTGTCGTTGTCATTGTCATTGTCGTTCTGAAAAAGAATCTTCAGCTTCGTCAGAGCATCGTCGCAACTCACTTCCATGCCTGTGATGACATCGACAGCCTCCTCTTTGGTCATGATCAGCTGGGCCACCAGCCAGAAATGAAATCCGTTCCTGTACATGCCCGCCGTCTTCAACGATTCATCCGAAGACTGTGAGCATACTGCCTGCCATAGCTGACGCCATCGGTCCAATGCTCCTTTGATGTCCTGGTGCATTGGTCCGGTTGCGAAATTGACTGACTTGGCTCCGTTCGTCCGATGATTGAGTGACGTGGGAAGGTTTAGGGATAAGGTCATTATACAGGAGTGGATGTAAGTGTAGAGAACTGTATAGAACGTTAGATCGGCCTCAAAGAGAGAGGGAGAGAGAGGGAGAGAGAGGGAGAGGAAAGTCCATACAGTGGATCAAGATGAATAGATCAAATACTGTCAAATCACACTTTCCGGACTCCACAGAGCCTCCGTACGTTGTGCCGTACAGCTTTGGGTCGGAAGCTAATGTCGGGAAAGTCGAGGAAGTCGAGGACGGCTTTGATTTGTCAAAGAGCATGGCAAAAGCCTGAGGAATCGTAAGTCGTGGCGCGAATATCGAGTCGTCTTGCATGAAAGGATGCCGAGAATCAAAGACCGAGTCTCTGCAGGGAAGATCGATGTCGAGTTCGGCTAGTGTCATGCGACATGGATAGTTGGAATAGATCTTCATGGCGCAGTCCAGCAACGCAACAACCGAAGTTGTCCTGTAGTCGGCCGTTAGCGACAATTCATACCCCGGTAGCGACAATGTCTGCTGCCATACCGAATCCGAGACTCCTTTTGTAACCATGCTGTTTCTGATATACGGTCCGAAGGCTGGTGATGTACACGGTGAAGGTTGAATTTCCGCAGCACCTGGTAAACAGTAAACAGTAAGCCTGTGACCTGGCCGCAAAGGATGTATCCGCACCTTGATGACATCTCCGAATCTAGATTCCATGGCACGACGTTTTGCAACTAGTGGTCCGGCCCAGTACTGAGCCACGACCATCAAATAACCTGCCTGGAGCTCCTGGAAGAATTCCCAATTGAGGTCTTGCCGATTAACACCGGGGGCTGAGCTTAGATTCTCGCTTTGTAGTGACCGACTGACTTCCATTTCAAAGGAGAAGATGTCCGAATCAAAAACGACCAGTTCTGCAATGTCCAGCAATCTCTTTGCCGCAAGCCGCTCGGTCTGATCCTTCGAATACATTGCTCCGACAAACACCACACTGACCAGCAAGCCAAGCGGTACACTGGCAGGGTCAAACGACGGTCGGTGAAGAATGGGACAGTTCAAGTGCCAGTTCCGGAAGTACAGTGAGATAAATCTAGGAACCCGGTCGCCCGTCAAAAGGAAGCCTAGACATGTAGCAAGTTCCTGGCGGGTTCTTTCGTCCAAAGTTAGGCACCACAGCTTGTTATAGATGGCCATGTTCAAAGCTGAAACATATTGCGCCTGGTCAGGAAACGTCTGACTGGACTCGGACGAAGTGCGCCTATGCAGAACCTCCGAAGACGCGATGGTCGGATCATAGAGCTCGAGTTGCAAATCCGAGTAGGATGGGGAAGGGACGAGGGCGAATGGACCGGTCCAGAAGTCCAAGTATTGGTCGTCGATATCGAAAGTAGACTCAAACATGCTTGAATAATCAATCGACCCGGGCGGTGTATCTCCGGTGGGTAAGTTGCTGGCGTCATTGGCCTCGTCAGGGTCTTTGGTTTGCTGATGGAATTGGAGACTTCGTATCCGATCATCACTGGGCGGTAGATTGAATGTCTCGGTGAAAGTGTCTGTTCCCCCGTTCAAAAGAGCTTTGATGGATACACGATCCTCGAGGGGCTCCTCGAGAGGTTCTAGGTGATCAGCTGTCGGTGTCGGGCACGTCAGCTCGGGTCTTGTACACGCATCGGTCCAGATGGGGCAGCACGAACCATTCGACCTATGCTGGCTGGAATGTTTCTGACGACATTGCAATTTCTTCTTTTTGCATTGAGCGCAAGGTATGCTTCCATCACATCGGACCTTGGAGGAAATGCACTGGAGACCGATGGTCAATTTTGGCTGTTTGGAGCGTTAAAGATTATTTCTCTGCATACCGTGACACATGCGTGCGGTCGTCGACCTTTGGGGATAGAATTTGGAGGCTCACGGTCTCCTCTCCGTTGACAATGACTGTAATGGCTCTGCAACCGATCTCTGTTGACGTGTCAACGGCCACCTCTTCAGCGGCGGATATTCAAGGGGTCCTACTTGCGAGTGAAATTCCGAGCACAGAAAATACAGGAGAACGGTTTTGCGCCAGTATCTTCATAAGGCCATCAGTCACGACAAGCTTAGTTTCCTTTCGTGTACGGCATTATACTCACGTCTTGTTTGATGGCGATTGAGATGTTCGGCTCGAGAAAAGCCTTGGCCGCAAGTGGCGCAGCGATAGCGTTTCTCAGACACCGTGGCGGTCGTGGTCGGACTGACAGCTTGTCTGGAGGTCATAGTCGGACTGGCAGCTTTTCTGGAGGTCATGGTCGGACTGACAGCTTGTCTAGCGACTGCAGAGGAGAGCAGGGCTTGACTCCGGATGAGGTCCTCGAATCTCTCCATATTGAGGCCTTGGGTGAGGTGGCGACCTGCCGGGGTTGGCAGTAGACGAGAAAAGCTACATGTAGCTGCTGAGGGGGGGAGACGTTGGCAGTAAACGAGACCAGCTACATGTAGCTGCTGAGGGGAGACGCTGGCAGTAAATGAGACTAGCTGCTGAGGGGGGAAGAAAAGAAGAAGGTGAAGAAGTAAAGAAGTGAAGAATTGAAGAAGTGAAGAAGTTGGCCGAGCCAAGTGGCACGCAGAACGCAGAACGACGGGCTTGGGCTTCGGCTTCAAACACACGCCTGACGAGATGACAGGAACGGAGTAGAAAAAGACCCTGACGAGATGACAGGAAAGGACTTAGGAGCAGAAAAAGAGCACGGCACCTACATGGGTCGGATGTGAGATGTCTAAGGTAGGTCTGATGCAGTGCGGGGATGGAGATGGGCTAACATTAGGCAGGGGTTGTGTGGGATGTGCGGGGGCCAAGCCTACCTAAAGGATACCTACTACTGTACGTACGTCGTACTCCGCACAGTACTTGGGAATTAGGTGTCGGCAATACTGTAGATTTAGGAGGCTTAGGGGCTCGCAGTAGGCACCTAGGCACCTTAGGTCCCACTAGGTCCTCCTTATCCCCTACCTGGTAGGTGCCTGGTAAGTGAGTGGTAGCACTTGGGGGTGTCCTCGGCTGCGATGGCCCCGGCCCCGGCCCCGTTGTTGAACCAAGACGGTATTGTCCCATCAACAGAGGTACCTAGGTACTAGGTAGGTACCTAGGTAGTTGTACAGTGTTTAAAGTAGGTAGTTGTATAGTGTTTAAAGTACGATGTATCGATTTAAGGCTGCAAGTATACCTAGTATTCGTACCTAAGCTTTACTCACGAAGAGGGCTCCTTCATTCCTACACTGTAGTACTCCGTGCATAGGTAGGTACCGTCTCCTCCAATTCGACGCCAGCTACCTTCTCAGAGTGTCAGACTCTACCAGCTGCCCTTCTCAGAGTGCTAGAGTGCCAGAACGTCAGAGCGCCAGTCTCTACCTCAATCGGACGTCGTGGGCACAGCGCCAGAGTGCCAACTCTACCTCACTCAGACGTCGTGGGCACAGGAGGAAAGTCAATCTCGTCACGGTTGAGGTAGTCGACCTTGACCCTCTTGTTCTTCTCATCCTCCGTCCAGCCATTCCCGATCCATCCATACGGATTGTCATTGACGTAATCATACACAAAGTCTTCCCACCGTGGATGTTGCAGAGTCTTCATTGCGTGCAACGAGGATCCTGCCATTGCATGTTAGATGATAGATAACACAGCAGAAGGGCGGAGGAGAGAACAACAGGAGGACGGAGGAGAAAACAGCAGGAGAAAACAGCAGGAGGAAGAGGAGATTTTACCTGGCCAGAGAGCGCTCACTCTCCCATCCGAAGTTCCCCCTTTGTACCAGCTGCGACAGTCGAGGCTGAACACGGTGGTCTGGAAGTAGGAGTCGCAGTAATCGACAAACCCCTTGACGGCATCCGCTTGAGGTGCCATGCTCCGAATATTGTCTCTCTGCATCTTATCCAGACACCTGGTAATGTAGTCGATCGCCTGCTCGATCAACAGCAGCAGGTTGCCGGTGCCTAAAGCTGAGTTCGGCCCCAGGGAGATGAAATAGTTGGGAAAGTCATCCGTGGCTAGTGAGAGGTAGGTCGACGGCACTTGTTTCCATTTTTCCGCCAGGCTGATGCCATCTTTGCCGGTGATGGGGAATCGCGGACAAAAGGTAGTGTCGAACCCGGTCGCGCAAATGATGGCGTCTACCGGGTGAAGCTCCCCGTCGACAGTGATGATCCCATCCTCAGCCACTTCACGGATGCCCGTCGTGATGACATCCACCTTCGGATCAGTGAGTGCTTCGAGATACCCAGGCCCGGGCGTCAGTCTGCGACAGACAGGTGGGAATGACGGCATCAGGGAATCGGCGAGCTGCGGTTTTCCTTCGAGTCTTCGCTTCATATTCTCGGTAAACACTTCGATGGCGCCCAATTGCTCGGGCGATCCCTTGATAGTGACGGCATGAACGGACTGGAGTTCGAGTTCAATGTCTGGCTAGTCAGCACACAGCCTCAACGCAACAGTGGGGAGACGCATACCCTTTCGAAACTTCTCATAGTAACTGGGATTACTCTTGAATCGGCTGATGTCTTCGGCAGAGAAAGAAACTACCAAATTGTCAGACCCATTTCCAGCCTGCACAGCGTCACTTACAGTTGTCCAGCCCCTTTCCCATCTGCTCGACTTTCTCTCGGGCAAATGTAGGGGACAACCACGTTCTGCCGCGGATGTAATGGTCAATATGGGCTGACTTGGCCAGGACCGCTGGAACAATCTGAATGCCACTGGATCCGTTGCCAATGACTGCCAATCTCTTGCCCTGCACGAGTCAGTTTGCTGTTTCGAAGAGTGGCGATAAGATCAAACTTGCCGCCCAGTCAAAAGTCTCGTCCCAACTGGCGCTGTGTAGCAAGGGGCCCTTGAAGTCGTGGAGGCCAGGGAGATCTGGCCACTTCCAGTCGTTCAGAGCACCAGTGGCCGACACCAAAACGTCGCAGACGTCTTCGAAACTGTCACCAGACTCCAGATTCTCAACCTACAGCTGTTTAGCCGCGAGATCCGTCATTCTGGCAACGAACGAGCATACCTGGACTTCCCACTTGCCCCGTTGTCCATTCCACCTGGCAGCTACAATCTTGTGGTTGAGCTTGATGTGTCTCATGCAGTGGTATTTTGCCACCACTTTTTTCCAATACCGGTGGATTTCCTGAGAAGTTGCATAGAACTGAGTCCATTCATGATTGGGCTCAAAGGTAGCCTGGTATGTGTGCGCTGGAATGTCTAAACTCACATCAGCCTGGACGAAGCAACATCCGTGTCGTCGACATACCACAAGCGCACCCGGGATATCGATTTTCAACCCATGTCCCACCGACATCAGAATTCTTCTCGTAAATCTGGAGGGATAGGTTTGGGATCCGCTGAGGGAGACGGATAGAAGCCAATATGCCTGATATCCCAGCCCCGACTACAACCACTCGCAGTGGTCGCCGTTCATCGACACATCTGTCTTCCAGCCAGGAAAGTGGTGCTTCGCCCATGGTAAAGCGGGCTGTTGGAATCCCAAAAATACTGAAAGATTGCTAAGGCTGCTACTTTTCGAGACGTGCTTCAAGCTGGAGAGAACATGAGACACATTAATACAACAATTGAAGCCCCTTCCCGAGTGACCTGCCGATGGATCTTTCAGTAAGGTGGTACCACCTTCGTCGAAATCAAAGCCCACCTTGTCACCATCCAACGCTGAGATCCGGGGTGTGGGGGAAGAAGGGGGAAGAAATGGACCACCGAGGCAAAAGTGGCGACGGTGGGTTCGGGAAAACCCCAGTGTCCAGGTACAACTCCCGGCCGGATGATGGCCTCCTTAACCCTAGAGGAGTAGGCTCAGGTCTCGGATGAATTGGCTCAGGCCCGAATCGTTGGTTGGCATTTGGACAGGGGATGAACCGATTGGCGGCTGAAAGAGATTTGCCGAATGGCATCTCCATCTCCGTCTCCATTCACGTGGAGGAATGAAGGAACACAAACATGTACACGGACAGCGTGAGTCTCCATCCCCGCCAATGGTAGAGACCAGTCAAAGGTTCGCAATAAGGACCGAATAGATGTTGTCCATGAGCAATGTCCAACTGGCCAGTCGCCCGCCTTTTCTCCATTGCACTCCAGTGAAATCTATCTTTCCAAACAAATTGGACCCCACTTGGCGACTCATGGACAATGCCGTCAACTTCACTTGGATTCTTTCGAGGTAGACCAGTGAGGACGCACGCCGTTCGTCCGTTGCTACGAGGAGAGCAAGCTGTGCTCTGCCAGGAGCATCCGGAGGGGCCGATCGATGTAGCGGTTGGGTTGGCACCCACCACCACGGTCAAATAGTCATCCCTCCTAGCTGCAATACGGGTAGCAGATCCCGCAGTCCTTACGCACGCACGGAGGCTCAGATTTGACTGCCTTTCTCTTACAATTCTGTGTTGGTCCGACAGAAGCAGGAAGACTTGATGGCCACGTCTGCCTTCGCCATAGCCGAATTCAACTGTAACCTAACTTTTTCGGCTTCCGCCGCACGCCCGAGTCTTCTAAGACACTCTTCATAGCCATGCATCGCCCATACATTGTTGGGGTGTCGGAGAGCGCGCGGAAGAGTATTGTCGAGCCCCAGGTCGGCGGTGTACACTGCCAATGCTTGCTCGAGACGACCCTGTTCAAGCAGAAGTGCCCCATACGCATGGCGAGGTGGCTGCATCCAACCCCAAGGTTCGTCGTACGGAAGAGCATCATCCAAAGCAATGGCCTGACGGAGGTGGGCAAACGCAGCGTCGACATTTCCGCGGCGGTATTCGAGTTCCCCGTCGACCATTGCATTTGCGATCGCGAGGATATCCACGCAGGTGTTGTTGAACAATGTCCGGCTTGATTTCACACGTCCCAATGAGTCTCGAAAATCCTGGCGCGCTTTCTCCGCTTCTCCCACCCTCCCAGTGGCTGCCAATGCTATGCCCTTGGCGTAATGCGTCAAGGCCGTGGTCACGCAGTAGAGATCCTGATCATGAGGAAGCTTGAGATCGAGGATATCCTGCCATCGACCGAAGCGGATCAAAGCATGTACGCGCATACCCAAGAACGCTTCCAGCCAGTCAGCCATAGGTGGTGATGTGACTCTCAGCAAGTCTTCGTGGATGGACGCCTCAAGCCAATCTACGGTCTCCAAGGCCACTTTGGACTCTCCTGCAAACAATGCCGCATAGAGACGGAAATGGTAATCGTGCGATCGATACAGAGTATAAAATTTCAGTGGACCGGCTCGGGAAAGGAATTTTTCATCCGCCCGAATGGCGTCCAAGTTCGAGGTCATCGCGCGGCTGTAGTCGCCGCAGAGTATGTCGAGATGTGTAGGCATATGATTGAGATGGCCTGAGTCAGGAACTAGTCCTCTCAAGTGGTCTGCTATAGGTAAAGCCTTCTCCGGCGCCTCCGACATCTCCATCAGGTGAATGTAGAGGTGGAGAAGGCCTGGATGCTGGAGACCGCCAGGCTGTGCTAGGCCATGATCAAGAACGATCTTTGCCTCGAGAGTACGGGCTCCGGCGGCTGGTTCACCGGTGGACAGATCCCAGAGCTTCCAAGGTGTCAGATTCATCAGAGAATCAGCATAGAGCGTTGCTACGTCGAGGTCGTCGGGAAATCGAGCATATACTACACCCATGGCATCTGCGTATAGTTGGTTCCATACCGAACCATCGCTCGCTGCCTGAGCTTGTGGATAGCGCTGGTTCCAAACTGAACAATCGCTCGCCGCCTGCGCCTGTGGATAGCGGAACTCGAGCGCGTCGATGAGGGCTTTCTCTACCGGGGTAGCATTGCCGGCTTTGAATTTGGCTTGTTCAAGTGCCGAATGGGTTCGTGTGACTGTGGACTCGAGTTCCTCGCCATCGAAGAATTCCCACGGCTTGTTGTAATTGGGTCCGAGGGCGTATGCAAGGCCCCAGTAAGCCACAGCACAGGTTGGGTCGACAGCAATAGCCCTCTCGAAACAATCTGCCGCCTCCTCGTGATTGAAACCATAACTCCAGATCAGGCCGCGGTTGAACCACGTTTGTGCGTCTTCGCTCGTGGTGGTGACAGTGCGCTGGAAAGATCCGAGGTCATAGTATCCGTCGGATGGGGGCTGAGTGGCCATGACGAGGAGATCGAGGGCAGGGAGAGAGGGCAGGGAGAGAGGGCAGAGGGCAGAGGGTAGAGGGTATGTCACGGTTGACCTAAACCGTTACACCACGACGGTCGCCAAAAAGGACGAAGTAACTAATTCACTCGTGAATTAGCTACTTGGTGTATATAACCGTCACAGATTAGAGGCCAGAGGGTAGAGGTCAGATGGCAGATGACACAGGGTATCTATAGTCGGTATCCAAGTCCCTGTGAGGACTCACTCGTAGAGAGCATCTTGGAGAAGAGGAGAGAGATCACGATTGAATGGTGTGACGGGGCGAGTTGAGGTTCAACATGGAGACGAGGATGCAGAAGGCGGCGTTTGAGGCACCGTATATTGGATAGGGCGATTCGGCGGAGTATTGTCGGTTTAAGCGAAGCCCAAGCCACCAGGCGCTACATATATCAAGTACTCCGTACCTAGGTATTACCTATTACCTAGCTAACACCCAACCTATCGGTACATCAAGTGCGTATTACCTACCTACCTATCGGTACATGCATGCAACTACCATATATCATATATGCTCGACACGAAGCCAAAAAGAGCAAGCACAAACACAGGTCTAGCAAGTCATTCTCCGGGCCCATCCCTATCCCCATCCAGATATTTGCCGTGGTGAGCAGGACCAGGACCATGACGCCCATGGCCTGGGCCGAAATTGCCCCAATATCCTGATCGTCCGTTCAGCTCGGTAGCATTCCGACACTGTGGGCTCTGGCGGTCTTCGACGGCGCCAAATGGCCACATGGGGATAAAGCAGACCTGATCCAGCGGACACTCAGGACATCGCTCCCACCCTGTCCACGCCAGATACTCGACCAGGGAGCGCAGGTTGGTCATGGAGTCAGAGAAGGGCGAGTCCGAGTCCAGAGCTGCAAACAAAGACGAACAGATGGTGGCTGTGACGGACCGAATGGCTCGAGCTGCCACTGCCACGGCCACGGCCACGGCCACTGATGGCGATTCGACGTGGGCAGGGATGAATTGCGAGGCACACCTGTCAACCTCAGCAGTAGTATTGCGTGCGTCGGAGTCGATAAAGACGCGCAGGAATGTCCCGAGTTCTGCAGACAACTCCTGCGACGTGGTGAGTGCGCCAGAGGTCAGATACTTCAGCCGCTTGGCATATCGTGCCACAACCATATCTGCAATACTCTGCCAATCAGTTGACATCGCTGGCATTGGTGTCAGCGACGGATCCCATCTGTTTACCATGCCATCCACATCACCACGAATCTTGTCCAGGACTGCGGCCGCGGCATCTGTGAGCCTAGGCAGACCATCGTCCTGCGTGAAAAGGTCCAGGTCGTAGTTGTATGCCGTGACGAAGCTGTCGTAGTTGAGTGTGACTCTGCCTCCACCAATACCGTCGTATCGTGCAGCGATGGCCCTGATCCAATCGGACGGCCGCCACCTGAGAGACTTGTCGTCAGTGTCGGGGTCGGGGTCGGGAACTTCGTCTCCTGCAGCAAATGGGCCTGCCCTGACCGCCTGGAGGAAATCAAGATTGTCGGCGAAGGAGCATAAGATGACTTCAAACCCGGCCTCCATGCGGATGAAGCCTTTGATCTTGCCATTCCACGTCTCCGTGGCCATTTGGCACAGCCGTTGGGCACGCTCGCGCTCCCAAAACTGGCCATCGCTTTCGTTGGTGACATTCAGAAGCAGGATGTCCTGAGTGTCCAGCGTTCCCTTATCGCATTTACCCGCGGACATGCCATCAATGTAAAGCAAGGGCAATTGGCTCTTGGTCCTGTAGGTATGGAGCCAGCCGGACCGCTCTGGGAGAGGCCTTGTCCTGGGTCGACCACGGCCGACATGGGCCATGACGGGATTCTGGTCAGGGGAATATGGGAAGGGGCCCAGCATATTTTGGACGTTGCTGGCCGATGAGGAGGGAGGAGGATCCTCGTACTCGTATCCTCCTATCGAGTCAAGAGGTCTATCCGCCATTCCTTCCAGTGGTGCCTTGTTGGGAGGTTTCTTGCCGGGTGCCTTGTTGGGAGCTTTCTTGCCTGGCGCCTTGTGACCCCTTGCGAAGTTGATGGCGTGTTCCGGCTCAAAGGCCAGCCACTCCATGCCCTGGACTGGCTGGGAGAGGCCGGTCCCATGGTAGAACTGCGTGCCGGCAGGGACCTGGGCCAGAAACAAAGACATGCCATTATGATTCAGCGACGACCCCCATTGCCGCATGGACGAGTGAATTGCGTTGAAAATGTGGTTTGCATTTCGTTGCTCGTCGTGGTTCGCATTTCGTTGCTCATCATGGTCATCCAAAAAGTTAGGATGCCGAGGTGGAAGAGCAGCGGCTCCAGCAACCTTGAACAGATAACCAAGAAGCAGCAGTGGCCATGGCCATAGCCATAGCATGGTGAAAACAGAAGGAAGTGGTGGACGAGATATGGAGGGGAAAGATAACAAGTGGGACGCCTTATATGTGGCATCGAAGCGACCGCTATACCGTCGGAGCCCATGCTATCCTACCAAGCGCAGTAGACATCTGACATCGATAGACCAGGGCCAAGACAAGACCTAATCAGCTGTTGCGAGTTGAATTGATAGTGATAGTTCCTGTTTGCAACTGGACATGGCGATGCGGTGGTCGGGCTGAGTCGTGATAGGAGCGCTGGTTGCTGACGCGGCCTTCACACGCGGCCATGAAAAGCCGGCCGATGTCGCTGCATCACCCAAGCAACAGCCAAGTTCACGAAAGAGGAAGAAGGCATTGCTTTATGAGAGCCAGGAGGCGCTCTTCTAGCTATTGCATTGGACGAGTAAGCGGGCGCTGCGTAGGCTCAACGATGAAGATGCCCCTGAGGGATGTTTTCTACCGAATTCGTCAAACTTGGGCATTCCCAGCCTTGCCCTTTAACCAGAAGGCTGGTTCAAGCATACTATGCACTATATAGCCTGGGCTCCCATACCCCTTTGATAGCGAACATGGAACATTTCAATATTTGACACGATGGAGATGCCTCTGAGGGACGTTTTCTACCCAATTTTAGTAAGAGCATCTAGGCAGGAAAGTTGTACATTCTATCGAAGTAAAGTCGCTGAGCATTGCTGATTCCAATTCAGCACCTTGAGTCAGGAAATGAGGTAGACAAGATCTGAGAAATATAGACACGAAGTGGCATCCACATCACGGCCGAAGAGAGGGAATCCATAGACACCGAAGACCTTTGCAACCATCCCAGAGCCGCCCTCCATCTTGCTTCCACCTCGGATAGAACACCCCATCTTGCTTCCACCTCGGATAGAACGCCGCATTCAAGTGCCTAAGGCGACTGCCTGCCCTTTCACATGGTCGGCCTAAACCTCGACTTCTGCCGGATCACCGCGCCATACTTGTAGAAGAGGATGGGCACTGGGACAAAAGCGAGGCAGAGAAATGCCAGAAGCGAAGTAGCCCACGGGACCCCCAAGTTGTGATACATGGCGGACGCGAACAGAGGGAAACCGGCCCCGGCAATGGAGCGAACAAAAGTGTTGATTGCAATGGCACTGTTGGCATAGAATCCATAGCAATCAATGATGTAGTTCATGCCTTGCCAGAACGCGACCAGACATCCCCCACCAAGCAGAGCAACGGAGAGGACTTGAGGGACCCACGTAATGTTTGGGTTGGAGGTCCTAGATAGATCAGTATGCGAGCAGGAAACACACGCCGCAGAGAGCGAGAGAGGTGGCGCACCATGCAAACCAGAACAGGCCGATCGGCAACACGGCTGCTCCCACGACCATCGGCGGCAGTCGTTCCTCCGGGATGATCTTTCCCTGCTTCACAAACGCACGGGTGAAATTCGTTCTCGTGGAGTAGGCAATCAGGCCGGTGCCCATGGCGATGCCGACAATGAAAGAGGTGAAGGGAAGGGCTCCCACTCCTTCATTCCAGCCGCGTTCCTCCTGAAACGAGATCGGAAACTGCCGACGGTCAGTAGACGCCTCACCTCGAGCGAGGCACAGTACTTACGGCTTCGAAGAACAGATATAGAATGCTGCCACATGTCAGCCTTGCGCGGCATTTCTGAGTTTTTTTCACGATAGAATACACTTACCCGTACACAAAGCTCATGTATGCGGTGATTAGAGCCAGGATTGGCTCCTGTACAAACATGACAAATGGCCGGATCAGGTACACTGTCATCATAGTCCGTAGACTGACTTCATTCTCGTCGGCTTTTGCGTGCAATGCCCAGTTCTTGGTCTCGTGTCGCAGTCGCTTCGCTTTTGCTTGCAAGATGCTGGCAGCTGAAGTCTCGGGGATGATGATGAGACCGATGGTTCCAAAAAGGGCAGCCATTATGAGGGTGATCCACGCAGTCCAGCGCCAACCGAGATGTGACTGGGTCACAAAGCCGCCAATGATCGGGCCTGCCGCGTTCAAGGTCAGTACTGTGGGCCAGCTGTCGGATGTGCGCGCAAACACTGCATACCTGCTACCGGTCCGCTAAAGGCGGCTGCTGCAAAGATGCAAACGGCGTACGCCCTCTCAATGGGGCCCCAGATGTCGGCCAGGGCACCTCCGACGACAGCTAGAGGGGAGGATGCAGCGAACCCTCCAAAGAATCGGCCAAGCATGATGGTCTCAACATTCCGAGCGACGGCGACGGGAACTTGGAAAATGGCAAATACAAGATAACCGGCGAACAGCGGGACTCGTCGACCAAATACTTCAGATGCAGGCCCGAACAGGATGGGTCCAAACACAAAGCCCTGGAGGAGAGCGATTCAGCGCTGCTGTCGGGCAAAATGCATGAATTCATGGGTTCAACTTACGAGTAGAAAGAGAGAAACGCCGAGGACAGAAGTGACGTTGGAGATATCATATTCATGGGCCACGGGTATAATGGCAACACTCTAGAAGATACTGTCAATTCCATCCCGATTCGTGTTGGGATCTGAGCCAGGGCTGCCCTCACTCACATAGATGGAACTGGCGAAGGTGACCACAAAGGTCATGGCTCCCATGGCAGCAGTGATGGTGCATCTCCTCATGACGGACCAGTTCTTTGGGTTTTCGGGGTCATCTGGTCCATCGAATTCGACCAGATCGTCTGCTGAACCGCGTACAGGCACAGGCGTGACGGGCACCTCCTGCTGTTGCTGGGATTCGGCCTCTTTTTCGACATCCAACGGCGTCGCTGTCGCTGACTCGTCCCCGTCCCCGGCATGGGCCGGTGGGTTCTCCGTCTTGATCTCGGGCATGAAATCTAAAGTGGACGAAGATGCAGAAGCGTAAGGTTTCGATGCGGGCTCGGATGGGCGCGTCGCCATGATTCGTGGAGTGTCGTGTAGTGTAGTGTTCAGCTACTGCGAGTGATCAAGGCTTGCGGCAGCTGAGTGTGACGGGCGATACAAGAGTTGGCGACATGAGACTGGTGTTAAATATTATGATTATAATGAATACTCTGCAGAACCATGTAGCATATCATTATCATTCTACCTTTCTTTACCTTTGAGTGTCAAGGAGGCAAATTAGTAAGGCAGTTGAACGGACATAACCCTGTGGGTACAGTAGTATATACGGATAATCCGCACAGATACTCCGTACCAACCCAGCTTGGAGAACGGGGATAAGCGTGGCGAGCGATCCCGAGGCCCGATGCCCGCCGTGCGATGTGCGATATTTGGAGTAATTACAGTAGTAGTACTACTAAATGACTCCTAACCAAGAAGGGCATTTGTCACAGCACAGAAGAACGACCATGGCCATTATCACTCTGTGGTAAATCGTGTGGTTCTCCGACGGGTCACGGTGTGTAGTGTATACAGAGTAGACGAGGCTCGAGGCTGAGCGTGCAGTACTCTGGTCCAGTCCTCTGGTGGTACGGTGTACTCTGGTCAGTGGTGGTACTGTACTCCGTACAACCCAGCCATCGTTGTACGATAAATCTCGTACTGCTGTTAAGTCCGGTCACTCCGGCCCGGGGGCGACTCCAAATCTGGCACCTCTGATTCATTCATTCATTCATTTGGTTCTTTTATATCCGTACGCCTACCAGGTACGCGGAGTATTACAAAGCTGAACAGGGCACCTCTCAATCATTCATTCATTTGCTTCTTCTATACTCGTAAGCACAGTATCACAAAGCTGAATCTGGCTTAAGTCTCGCTGATATAATCGCGCCCCGTGTACTAGGTGCTCTTGTGCTCTCAGTCGACGTCTCTCGTTATCTGACCGCCGCAGCAAACTCTGCATTCCGAATGAGTCAGACTTCCGGTGTAGATCATAAACCGTAGACATGAAGGGCCCTGCGATACTTGTCATGCAACCAGAGGGGAGCCTGACAAGACCACCTCCGTAGATTCAGCCATCTGTTTTTCTGAGAAATATGGTTATTCAACACAGAGAACACCATATGATAAGAAAGACTGTCTTGTTATATTTCAGGATAAACGTCTGTCCGCCTCAGCAGAGGGATTCCTCTCCGGACTTCATCAACAGCTTTCGAGTCGATGTCAACCGTGAGCATGTCCGGCTCACGGGTATCAACCTTCTCCTTGTCCAAATCCTCGACATGATCCAAACGTCCGACGATGTGACCATTCGGTGAAATGACAATGGAATCCCCGTAACTGACCCGCTTTTCATTATGTCTACCACACTGCGCCGCGGCTATAACCCAGCTCTGCGTTTCAATTGCTCGGGACCGCAGGAGAATCTCCCAGTGAAGCTTCCCCGTCGGCACGGTGAATGCTGACGGATACAACAAGGCTTCTGCTCCTTGGCGCCGCAGTCGAAGTGCAGGTTCAGGAAACCGCAGATCGAAACATATCAGGCTACCAAGCTTGCCCAAGACGGTGGGATACGGAGGGACGATTTCATTTCCTGGCTGGACGGAATCGCTCTCTTTCAGTCTCGGGCCGTTCGGACGCAAGTCAATGTCAAAAACATGCAGCTTCTGGTATCGATGAGCAATTTCCCCCTCTTTATCAATCCAGATCAGTGTGTTCTTGATCCTGTCCGAAGGTGGATCGGTCGGTTCGTGGATGCCCACATTGATCAGCAACGAGTTATCCCTGGCAGCTTGCTGGAGACCGCGAACGAAAAGGCTCTTTGAAACATCTTGACAGAGTCCCACGGATTCGGTGGCAGAGGAGGCAATGTAGTCGGATGCTTCAGGGAGGAAGAGTGCCTAGATGGGGTGGATGCTGTGAGGACATGGTCAATGCCGAGTACGGAGTACTCTGAAGCCTGACATTGAACAAAGGAAAACATCCGCGCAGGCTTCAAGTGGACTTACCTTGGCTCCCGCATCCACGGCTTTCTTGACGAGCTTCTGGCATTGGGCTAGGTTATGGGCCATGGATGCAGTCGAGCAGATTTGTCCGACAGCCTGACAGGGACAGGGACTGGTTATCAGCCAAGGAAATCCTGTCCGACCTTACTGCTGGGAGCGAAACATACGGCGAGCACCATGTTGCCAATGCCGGTCAACGGCGACAATTCCGCAGGTGATGGCAGGTGGTAGTAGGGCGACCCAAGTGACAGGACCAGGTAGCTATGGCCCCGGACTCCGCTCGACCGGTCTAGGGTTGGAGAGTAACTTGGAGGACTCGGTACACACACTCGAGTCTGTGATCTGAGGTGGGAGAAGGGTTGCAGTAGTGCAGGATACTACTCTAAAGGGTGGGCTGAGGAGCAGCGCAGCTCTCGGCCGACCTTCTCTTCCTGCTGGGCGGCTGGAGGACCGAGGTGCATTGTCTACAAACCCCGGATATGACCCCTGCGGTCCTTGGAATGGAGTACCGGAACAGTACTGCCGCCATCAGCTACCTAACTACCTAACTACCTAGTACCTACCTACTCGCCATCCTCCCCCTATATGCACGCAAGTCGCCGTCGTCATGGTCCAGAAGAATTGTTACAGCATGGTGAAGGACAGAGTATTCTGGGCCTCGGCCTGCTGTCGAGACTCTCGGTCTGGAAAACGCACCCACGTTCTCGACCCTAGCGAGCTGCAATGGAAGCGGAGCTACAGTATGATAACAAGATTTGCGGAGTATGGGCACATGGGAATCTCTCCATGAACGTCCTCGACACCTGGCACCTGGCCCCTGGCACCCACTACTCGCTTCAACACGTCATCCAGTGTCTGGCAAATCCTCCAAATGCTCGTAGCAAGCCACGAGGAGCCTATAGTACACACTATCACCTGCAATTGTTCAGCGCTTCCGCCGGTTCCTGTATCGCAGGTACCCCGCCTTTGCAGATTGTGGGCACGGTCAGTCCACAAAATGTCCCGTGGGGATGGGGATCCAAGTACTATCGCTTGTCGGTTCGGCAATTAGGCCTAATGACTGACAAAATCTGGGGGAACTTAAAGTCTCAAGATGGGCCTCACAAAGGTATATATGTTGCTCGTGACCGCTGCTTCTCTCCCGTTCTGTCTACTCGAAAAACAACCGAGCGACTTCCTACCTCAATTCCCCGCAGGACTATTTCCCCCACAATGGCCTCAATAGATATCCCCAGGCAACAGAAGGCCGCTGTCAAGGTCGGCAGCGGCACCGATTCCCGGGCTCCGGTCAAGGAAATCGAAGTGCCCCAACCAGGCCCTGGGCAGGTCCTTGTCAAGATCAACTGGCAAGTAGTTCTCGACAGCGAAAAACTAAACTAAATATGCCCGTCTCCTAACACTTCGACCAGGACCGGTCTCTGTGGCTCTGACAAATCGCTGATCCATGATGAGTGGGCGGCCTCCGGCATTGCCATGCAGCCCAGCACCGAGGGAATTGCCGGTCATGAGGGCGCTGGGGTGGTTGTGGCCGTGGGTGAGGGCGCCGAGAACAAATGGAAGGTCGGTGACCGTGCCGGTATCAAATGGGTTTGGAGCACCTGTGGCGAATGTGAATTCTGCACGAATGGCACCGACGAGCTCCACTGTCCCAACCAGAAGAACTCCGGCTTTAGTGTGCCGGGCACTTTCCAGCAATATGCTCTGAGCGATGCCAAATACACCACGCGGATCCCAGACGGCGTCTCGGATGAAGAAGCAGGGCCGATAATGTGTGGGGGCGTGACCGCCTATACGGCTTGTAAGCGAAGCAGTGTCCGTCCCGGTCAATGGCTCGTAAGTCTGCCCTTCTTCTCATTCACCTCAACTCACTGCTAATGGTGGTTCCTCGACAGGTCGTTGGCGGTGCTGGTGGCGGCCTCGGCCATCTTGCCGTGCAGTATGCGAAAGCCATGGTACGACGACGCGAAAGTCTGCTCACTGGAGTCCAAGCTGATCTTGTGTACAGGGCTTGAGGGTCATTGCAATTGACGGAGGTGACGAGAAGAAAGACTTGTGCAAGAAACTTGGTGCCGAGGAGTTCATCGACTTCACCAAGGTCCAGGACACGGCGGCAGAGGTACACCGAATCACCAAATACGGGGCCCATGGTGTAATCGTCATCGCGGCCAGCAAAGAAGCCTACGAGTCTGCTCCTACCTTACTCCGACCCGGTGGCACGGTCGTGGCTGTTGGTCTTCCTAAGGACCCGACCGTGCGGGCAGGCGCGCCTCCGATCATGTTGGCCTTGAGAAGGTTGAACGTGGTGGGAAGTGTGGTAGGTACATTAAAAGATGTAGAGGAAGCCCTTGACTTTACTGCTCGAGGGTTAGTGCACGTAAGTCGAGCCTCAGCCTCAGGCCTTCCAAGTCACTTACCACTGAATATGTCCATCTCTCCCTTCCAAGTCCCTTACCACTGAACATGTCCATCTCTTCCTTCCAAATTACTTACCACTGAATATGACCGTCTCTAACTCTGACGCTCCGCTCCAGCCAATCCTGACCAAGGGCACGTTGGAAGACGTGGACAAGTACATGGAACAGATGATTGCTGGCAAGCTTGCCGGCCGGGCGGTGCTGAAGGTTTCATAAGGCCTCAATTGGCAGTAGAGAAGCATGACATAGCACGACCACAGTCTTTCCACGATTAGCATGTCAAAGGTTGAAATGTTCCATGTTATGTTCTCTATCAAGGGGCCGCAGGGAGCGCATGCTATATAGTAGTATAGTACAGCCTAAACCAGCCTTTCTGGTTACAGTAAAGGGCAAGACTGGGAATGCCCAACCCAAGTTTGACAGACCGTGACCTTCGCTTCTATAACTCATTTGCGCATTCACTTGCGAAGTGAAGCACCAGCCAACACAACACAGGCCATATTAATTATCACCTTGATCTATCATTCTGCCGCACATCTCTCCCACAACTCACCAGATGCCTCGTCGTCGCCGTCCTCCTCCTCCGGCCCGATGGTGCAGTGGTATGAAGAGACAACAACCCAGCCCGATGGCTCAGTTGTACAAAGAGACAACAAACAAGTTGCGCTAAATGCGTCTAGAAAGAGTCTCATTACAACATACTACTACTGCCTACTGCACTGGGCGCCTCTTACCTCTAACCTCGAGGTTCATATCCTGCTATCGACCCGAAAAACCTGTAAAAAAAAAAATAGGTTCACTTCCCTACAACCTCCGTTCGAGGAGTTTGTAGGAAAAAGTTTTTTGTTTTTTGTTTGGGGGGCGTGGTATCAAACCTGGGCATTCCCAGCCTTGCTCGTTTAACCAGAAGGCTGGTATAGGCTATACTACTATATAGTATGCGCCCCCCTGCGACTCTTTAATAGAGAACATGGAACATTTCAACCTTTGACACAGTCACAGTCACGAGGCTGAGGGTTGGGAAGGCTAGGTTTAGGCGAGCGTTAGGTGATGGATCAGGCAGGCCGATGGATGGGGACTGAGTCATGTCAATGTGTGTATAAATTCTATATTCTATATATCCTAGCGAAGTGCCACTGCCTCTGCCTCTACCTCTGCCTCAAAAGAAAGCGGGTTGATCATTGTGTACTACCCTCACGTAATTATTTGCCGTACCGTGTCTCCCAGCATACATAAAGCGAAACGCCAAACCTCATTCATCGTACAGTTGCTTAACAGTGCCTGTACCAAGAAATCATTCCCTCTAGACAGAGTCCGAGACCACTCTCACATGTGTGGTGTGCCAGGAGCCAACCAGAGCCCCTTCCTCACCTCCTCACCATGAGAAAGTCATCAGAGCCGGATTCAAGACAATCGGCAACAGCAAGTGGCTGGATGTGACGGTGCTCATGGGTAGAATGGCAATGAAGTCCTTGATGAGCCAGTCATAAGGAATGAAGCCGCCAGGGTTGGTGGCCAGGACAATCATGGCGCCGATGCCGACAATGGCAAAGGCGATGCTGAACTTGAACTTGCGGATGACCTTGGGCACCTCGATGAAGAAGTTGGAGAATTCGGCTTCCTTACTCGTGGCACCCCAGCTCATATCGATCTCGAACATGTGGGCGAGCAAGGCCTGAGACACGTGCAGGGACAAGCCGCCCAAGAAAATCGACAGCATCAGGATCCACTTGAAGTTCTCGAGCAACGCCGGCACAAAGGATTTCTGGCCGATGCGGTAGCGCATGATGGCGAGGGCGATGTTGCCGAGGCCGTTGAAGACGATGACAATGCTGAACCACACTTTCCAGCTGTCAATGTAGTATTTGTCGAGGTACCCGTTGAACCAACCGATGGCGAAATAGTTGGCGAGCGTCATGATCCAGGCCGCGCCAATCGCGTAGTACGTGCCGATGTAACTGATGATGGTGATCTTGGAGGTGAAGCGGATGTTGGAGAATAGAAACCGTCGAAACAACTCGGTAAAGGGGCCCCTGTAGATCCATTTTCGCATTGGGTGGAACAGCAGCTCGTTGCAGCCGTAGGCGTATTTCTCCCACCGGGCCAGCTCGTCGTACACGGTCAAGCTGACGCCTTCTTTGAAGCCGCCGTGTGCCCAGGATGCAAGACGGATGATGTACCCGTCGCACTGCAGCCGGAGTGACATGTCGAAGTCCTCGCTGACGTGGGACTCGGACCAGAACTTCTCGTACCCATCTTCGTCGGTATACGAGACCTGCTGGATGGCGCTCCAGCGCAGGATGGCGTTGTGGCCGACGAACGGGGCGACGTCACCGTTGGCGACAGTGTACTCGATCGCCGTGTAGATCAGGTTGGTGAAAAATGTGATGCCGTTCTCGAAGAAGGTGTGTACCACCTGCATCACGCCCGAGGCAAATTGCATGATGCCCACGTCGGGCGACTGTTCCATTTCGCTCACGGCATCGAGAAGACAGTCCGCGGGCACGCGTGTGTCGCTGTCGATGAGCAAGATATAGTCGCCGATCCGGATGTTGCCGTCAGCCCACGCACGCGGATTGTCCGTCAGGACTTCTTGCAAGCATGTATCGTACGCGTCTGATTCATCATTCTGAGTCCAGGCCGACGCGCGATGATACCGTTGGAGTTTGTCTTCGACCTTGCAGGACAGCATGAGGCCGTAGTTCATGTTGGAAGCCTTTTTGAACTTCCCACGACGCACGAAACCATCACTATTATGCTTGGGCCGGGCAGTCCAACCAATGCTGTGATCGTGGTAGAACTCGATGCGCGCTTTTCGCTCTTCTTCGTCAATGATCTGCAGCCCATCATCGTTGATCAACATGTTGGCCGTGCCACCCTGTAACTCGTAAGTCGAAATGGCTTGTTTGATTGATTTGACCGTGGGGGCGATGACAGAGGCAAGCCCCTCTTTGTACACGGGGCATTGAACGGTCACATGCGGCAGCTCTGTCGTCCGCAGGCGAGGCGAGCATTTGGCCGAGAAGTATTTCGAGTTGAGCTGCATCTGCCGCACTGGGCCAATGCATTGTGCAATGCAGCCGACGATGACTTGGGCGAAGAACTGGATGTGGCATCAGCAGATGATAATGCGAGGCTGCGCCCCCAAACTTACCAGTGTGAAAAATATTTGCACTGGTACCAAAGAGAGAAAAGCCAGCCGGAGACAAGAGCCGTCGACAGCAATTTCCGTGGCCAAGGAGCGGCAGGCTAGACCAAGCAACACAACGACGATAACCAAGGTGAACGCGACGAGGACGGTGTTCATCAAGTTGGTAGGCCGTAAATCTGGCGCTGCCCCAGACTCGGTATCGATCGTACCCTGGGCACCGCCGTCTTTCTCGTTGTAGGTATTATCGTCATCCCCAGCCTCGCCGCTGTGCCAGACCAGCTCCATCAGTTGTGCCTCAATGGTAGTTGCTCTTTTCACGACGTTGGACGGATCATCATCCCACACCACCAGCAGGGATTCAGATGCGATGAAGGCAGCAAACTGGTGTTTCCGGGCCCGAGTAAGGTGGCCAATTGTGGGCAAGATTTGGACTCGAAGGCCATTCATCAGAGGCACGTCAGTTGCATCAGGGGCCCAGGCGAGGAAAGTTTTGATGACTCTTGAGTTGACGGTCATGGCCACCTGAGAGGAGATTAGCATACCATACGATGCCATACCACACCATGGCCGTACCCTTCCTTACCTGTACATTTAGTTGAGCGCACACTTGCGCAAAGTGGGAATCTAGAAGTTCCTGCGGACACGCGAGGTAATGGCCCCTGGACTTTCGTACTAAGACTCCTTCACATTGTCCGCAGCCATCGCTGACCCAAAGGTGGGAGCATTGCTGTTGATAGAGATGATTGACCATGATCTCATGTTTGATTTCTTCAATGAAACTGCTTTGCGCGCTGCGAGTTGACCTGCCGCTGATTGATGCAGCGCTGCTCTGGGTGGGTGAGTCGTCCATAGTGAATATCCCGGCTGTAGGGGAGCTCATCCTTGGGCTTAGTTGTTGCCTCAGTATATCTCGTTGAGGGGCAATTCTGGATGAACTGTTAGACTGTGATGGGTGCTGCCGGTGATGGCTCGATGGTAGCTCGGTGCCCATGTTGCTATGCGCGTAAGAAAAACAACCTACCGGCGTCGAGATGACGAATGCTGAGAGTTGCCCAACTTGATCGTGAGCATGCTCCTCGTGAGACATCTGGACAAGTCATATAGAGTCGAGACTGCCTACCTGCGGATCGCCAAAGACATTTCATAGGAAGCGTTGCGAAATCAGTACATCCGACCGTGGCTGCAGCAGCCTGGAAACCAACAATATTGCAAATTGCAGGCCTTGCCGGTAAGTCTTCTCAGACAGAAGGGCGAAGCTTGAGTTGATCCTTGACGGCCCCATTCCGTAGCATGGATGTAGCACGTCAGGACAACGATGAGATCTCGAAAACGACCAGGAAGGGCAGCAAGGGTATCTCCATAGGCGGGGTCTTCAGTGGGTAGATTGATGAGCCAGGGGGAGGTCGCTCTCCGCCACAATGGTTCTGGGAGGGCAATAGAAGGGAAGTCGACAGATATCCAGGCGGTTGGATGCAAGGATAGAGATAGCCGGGCAGACCTGGAACAAAAAGAACAGGAAGGAAATCAGGGGCGGAAGTAGTGTAGGAGTTTGCTTGACAGGTCAACCGCCCTCTTCTCAGACACGATCGTTCCCGTTGTGGTTAGCTCGGCCTTTTCTGCAAGGGGAGAAACATTGATTTGCATCTCGTCCAGATACCCACCTCATCGCCATACTCGCCGTCCCACATGCGCCTGATGCTGTGACACGTCCGCCAGTTGAAGTAAGGATGCCAGTAGAGCCGAGTCTTCTTGGTAAGAGGGCATGACAATCGTTGAGATGGCCCCTGGGGGGGCTCCCAGTTTGCTGCAGGTACGGCTTTCTTTTCTTACTTCCCCCTGTTTCCTAGCGACTCCGTCGCCTCTATTACTGGCACCGTCGACATGACAAGCTGTCGTGGCAATGGGCTCTGCAGGTCCTTGGTCCTTCTTTTTCTGGTTCTCCACTGTCGATGAAATTTATGTTTTGGAATTGGGCACCTGATCCAAAGGTTTCTGGTCGACTGCCCGAGACAAATGCGCAACCAGGCCAGAATCCTGGGGCTGTTCAGCAAGTAGTGCCCGGCGCTCTCTTCGTACTCCCACCGTGTGTATTCGCTTCTAAAAATCGCCATCTTTGCATAGCTGCCGTCGCCGTAGTTTGTATCTTCTCAGCCCATCTCCACCTGTGGAAAGCAGTACGCCTCCTGTTCTGCTACTTTCACCTTTCGCCGTCAGCATTTGGGGATACTCTGCAGACGTCTCTACCATGACACCGTTTTCCGGTCCCAGCTACTCCCTTCAAGTTGATTCATCAATGAGTGTCGAAGCAACCCCTCGTGCTGGAACGCCAGATTCGGCCATGGCCACTGCGGTGTCACAACATAAGAAATCCGCAAATCCTTTCTTAACACCGTATGCATCTGAATATCCCTCGAGGAATACATCGTCAGCAGCATTGCACCAGACCATGCTCACCCAGCGATATTTTCATTCTCGAAGAGTCAAAAAGGGCCAGGTTGAGCGACCGTGGACCAAGATCAAGGACCCTAGAGAGAAGTGGGTGACAATCATTCCCATCATTGGGCTTCTTGTCGGCGTGAGTATTGCTGGCCTCCTCGTCTGGGACGGTCTTCGGTCAGTCGTCAACCACAAATACTGCCCTGTGTACTTGGAGGATTTCGCAAATGGCTTGGACTCAAAAGTCTGGACCAAGGAGGCTGAGGTTGGCGGATTTGGCAATGGTCAGTTTGAACAGACCACCACCACCGATGAGAATGTGTTTGTGCAAGACGGAATGCTACATATCAAGCCGACACTGCAGGATCCAAAGTTGGTGACGACGAACAATGTGATCAATTTGTTGGCCGACGGTATCTGCTCATCTTCGGTCTGGAGCGACTGCATCACGGGTACCAACACCACAAATGGCACCATTGTCAATCCCGTCAAGTCAGGACGTATCAACACCAAGAAAGGAGCGGCGATCAGGTACGGCCGGATTGAAGTCGAAGCCAAACTCCCCCAAGGTGACTGGCTGTGGCCTGCGATATGGCTGCTCCCGGTCGAGAGCAAATACGGAGAGTGGCCACAATCCGGCGAGATCGATATTGCCGAGTCAAGGGGCAACAACCATACCTATCCCTCAGGGGGTAACGACATCATCTCCAGCGCGTTGCATTGGGGACCCAACGATGCCAACGATGCTTGGTGGAGAACCAACGTCAAGAGGAATGCCCTGCACACCACCTTCGCAAAGAGATTTCACACCTTTGGTCTGGAATGGTCGGAAAAATACATCTTCACCTATATCGACACTCGACTGCTGCAAGTGCTGTATACCAACTTCAACGAGCCCCTGTGGCAACGCGGTCATTTCCCCCTGTCCGACAGCAACGGTACACGACTTGTAGATCCCTGGTCGCAGACGGGCAATGCAGCGACACCCTTCGACCAAGACTTCTACCTTATCTTAAACGTTGCTGTGGGTGGAACAAATGGTTGGTTCCAAGATGGGAAGAATGGGAAGCCGTGGGTCGATGCAAGTCCAACGGCGAAAAAGGACTTTTGGAATGCTAGAGACACCTGGTTTTCGACGTGGAAAGAGGGCGGCGAGATGGTGGTGAAAAGCGTGAAAATGTGGCAGCAACAGGGATACAAAGGTTGTCAGTAATGGCGTTCTCACAACGGCAGGGTAGAGCCAAAGGTTCAAGTCGGCGACCTGGAAGGCTTGCTATCTTAACTTGGAAACCATGTTCCTAGCTACTGACTATGGAATACGGAATACATGTAGATGAGAGATTTCCCACTATCAATAACACTCGATTGCATTGGTCCTCTGCTCTCAACTCGCTCCCTTTGCGGTGTTCCAGTAGACAGGTAGCCAAATTAGGGAGGCTGAGCCTCGTCACGTGATGTCCAACTTCTGCCAGATGACCCGCCCGGGGTCTAGGAAAGCCATCTGTACAGAAAAGGCCCTACAAAAGTGGATGCACATGCCGCCGTAACTGATGGGCTGTATTTCTGGCTTTTCAAGACCAGAATTAACTGAGCAGAGCAGACAGACCGAGGTGCGCTTATTCAAGCTGTCCTTTGTCTGTTCATGTTTCCGCCTTCGATCCTAGGTACCTAACTTAAACAATTGCCAAAGGACTATCTAGATTTTCCACCCTCAGGAGACTCCACTGCTCCATCTACACCGTGCCTCGGTGGGGGATTTTACACCAGTTTCAACAGGCCGTCGAGGTTGATGCTCTTTGGTCGCTCAATTGGCAGACCAAGAGCACGGTCCCAGATGAGCTGAGCCAATGGGCCCAGGCCTCTGCTGACGCCGAAAGTGACGGTGTAGTACAGAGGATCCTGGAAGCCGTAATGGTGGAAGAGAACTCCGGAGGCGCTGTCGACGTTGGGGTGAGGGTTCTTGGTCTTGCCATGTTCGGTCAAGACACCTGGGGCAATTTCGCTGTTCTTCTTGACCAGGCGGTACACCGGGTTTTTGGCGATGTCCGCGTGGGAATCACCAAAGTCAATCAATGCCTTGAAACGAGGATCCGGCTTTCGGAGTACGCCGTGGCCATAGCCAGGGACAACCTGTCCGGAGCGAAGAGTCGCCCAGAGATAATCCTTTACGTCTTGGTCGGAGAAGTTCTCGCCGATCTGAGATTGCATCTTCAAGATCCAACGAAGGACTTCTTGCGCGGCAAGGCCGTGCAGGGGCCCTGCCAAACCAAGCAGACCCGCGGCGTATGACAGGTACGGGTCTGAGAGAGCAGACCCCACCAGGTGAGTCGCGTGGGCGGAGACGTTGCCGCCTTCATGGTCCCCGTGAAGGGCCAAGTACAGACGGAGCAGATCCTGGAAGCCTTCGTTTTCCTTGCCCGGCTTGCCAAGAAGTTTGGCAAAGTTGTAAGCCCAATCTTGGTCCTTGTCAACAGGGATATCCAGAGCAGCCTTGTCGAAAATGGCCGCAGCGACGCGAGGCAGCTTGGCGAGAAGGTTGATGCTGTCGTCGAAGGTGGGCTCCCAGTACTCGGTCTTGCTCAGCCCATCGGCGTACTTCTTTGCGAACAGAGACTCAGTGTTCAATGCAGCCACAGCAACTGACAGCTGCGTCATTGGATGGACGTTCTTGTCAAACGACCTGAGCAGGTTGACGATATGGGCCGGGAGTTCCGCCTTTTCGGCCAGCTCGCGCGACAGCGCCCGAACTTGAGATGTCGACGGGACTTTTCCGGTCAGGAGGAGCCAGAACATGGCCTCAGGAAGCATCTCGGTGCCAGAAGTACCCTTGGGGAGCTCTTTCTGGCAGTCGGCGATTGTTCGGCCATGAAAGCGAATTCCTTCGTTTGCATCCAAGACACTGCCTTCCCACACCATGGACTTCATGGTTCTCATACCGCCAATAACCTGCCCGACGGTGATCTCTCCAATCTTCTTGTCGGCATGGCTCTTGACTTCCTTCAGCAATTCTCGCTTCTCAGGGATCACAGATTGGAGCGTAGTCTTGAGATCAGGCTCGGCTGCGGACGCGTAGGTTCGGTAGGCGAAGGACGACGACCGCCGGGTAGAGGTACGTAGGGCCCTTAGGGCCGTTTGGGCATTTCGTGTGCTGGCAGCCATTGCAATAGAGAAGCTGCGAGCTTGAAATCTGTGCGGTCGTGCTTTTGTTGATATGGGTGGTTGTGGCTGATCCCCGCACAATCAGCAGTGGAGGGGAAGCTTGCAGGATTGAGAAGAGGTGAAGGCTTGTGGAGGAGTTGTGAAAACGCGAGGAGTTAGAGCCTTAATGCTTCGAGCTCTGAAGTCAACGAAACTATCCGTCGCTCTTTAATTCCTTTCACCGGAACGAGTAGGGGAGAAGAGCGTCTGCTCGGAATGCACGCAAGAGGGCAACATCCTCGGCGAGGCTAATAAGGGCCCCAGAGAATCCCGCAACACCGAAGCAACCTCAACTAGCCGGAACCGAGGCTTTGCTGCTCCGTGGGGAGTTCGGGGGTTCTCCAGCTGCTGTCTGGCAAGAAACCGGCGCTTACAGATAGTAGTTAGTAAGGTGGCAAATGCCTTGTCAGACATACTCACATATTTCCTCACGGCCCGGCCCAAACTCCGAACTGCGGCCGGGTGCTTTCCAGTACGAGACCTGTTGTATGCGAAAATACGTGGAATTATATGCTTTGCTCATTCCTAGGTAGCTTGACTCGATCTGCTGCGACTACTACTACTACTGTGTTTTCCGCCAGAGCCTCATTACAAAGCAGCTCTGGGCTGCTTTCAGCTACTAAGAGCCGCCGAGTGACTCCTTCGAATTTGGATCACTCCTCGTACTCTCCATAGGCCCAAACCCACAGGACCAAAGAATACAGCAACGAGCATGCTTCGACAAGTTTCAAGGAGCCTTGCAAGGCCCGTTGCACGAACTGTCCCGAGAGTGAGGGTGTCGAGACCATTCCTCGCAACGATGCCTCGCCACTTGTCGTCCTTGCCCCAGGTTGACCCCCCAGTGTCGACGACACTACCCTCGGATTCGTTTCAGTTACTTTCCACCGAAGAGAAGGCCGGGGACGCAGAAGATATCTTGTTCAAAGAACAAGTTAGGGATGTGAACAACTGGTGGGCGTCCCCTCGGTATGAAGGAATCAAGAGACCCTACACTGCCGAGGATGTTGTGAGTAAGAGGGGGACATTGCAGCAGAGTTATCCTAGTTCGATAATGGCCAGGAAACTGTTCAACCTCCTCAACGAGAGAGCGGCTGAGGGACAACCCGTCCACACAATGGGAGCAATCGATCCTGTCCAGATGACGCAGCAGGCGCCGAACCAAGAGATCCTTTACGTGTCCGGTTGGGCATGCTCTTCGGTCCTTACCACCACGAACGAAGTCTCCGCAGATTTCGGAGACTATCCCTACAATACCGTACCCAACCAAGTTCAGAGATTATTCAAGGCACAACAACTACATGACCGAAAGCACTTCGATGCTCGTAGGAAGCTGAGCGCGGAAGAGCGAGCGAAGACTCCTTACATTGACTACTTGCGACCCATCGTAGCCGATGGTGATACTGGTCATGGTGGTCTGTCTGCCGTTATCAAGCTGGCAAAATTGTTCGCTGAGAACGGTGCCGCTGCTGTGCACTTCGAAGATCAGCTCCACGGTGGCAAGAAGTGTGGACATCTGGCAGGCAAAGTGTTGGTGCCTGTCGGCGATCACATTAACCGCCTTGTGGCTGCCAGGTTTCAATGGGACATGATGGGCTCCGAAAATCTCGTCATTGCCCGCACCGACTCCGAGAGCGGTAAACTGCTTTCCAGCGCCGTCGATGTGCGAGATCACGAGTACATCCTAGGTGTTGCGGAAGAGACAGAGCCACTTGCCGAAGTTCTTCAAGAAATGGAGCTGAATGGGGCGAGTGGAGCTGAAGTCGACGAGTTTGAATCCGCCTGGGTCAAAAAGCATAAGCTGGTCACATTCGACGAAGCGGTGGAAGCTCACATCAAGTCAGAGGGTGGAGACGCCTCCGAGTACCTCGCGAAAACCAAAGAGAACCGCAACTTATCACTGTCAAAACGCCGTGCCCTCTCCAACCAGTACACGAAGTCTCCTGTTTTTTGGTCTTCCGACATCCCTCGAACCCGGGAGGGCTTCTATCACTACCGAGCAGGCATCTCAGCCGCCACTAAACGAGCGATTGAATTTGCCCCATACGCTGATCTTCTCTGGCTCGAAACTGCTGACCCTAGCGTTTCGAAAGCCGCAGGTTTTGCTCGAGAAATCCGCGCAGCTTATCCTGGCAAGAAATTGGTGTATAACCTGAGCCCATCATTCAACTGGATGGGACAAGGCTTCGATGATGCCTCCTTGAAATCCTTCGTTTGGGATCTTGCCAAAGAAGGCTTCGTGCTTCAGTTGATCTCCTTGGCCGGCCTCCACTCCACAGCTACCATCAGCGCCGAGCTATCACGGGGCTTCAAGGAAGACGGCATGTTGGCGTATGTCAATCTCGTTCAGAGTCGGGAGAAGGCGCTTGGTGTTGACGTCCTGACACACCAGAAATGGAGTGGCGCTCCGTACATTGATGGGATTATTGGCGCCATCCAAAGTGGCAGCAGCAGCAGCAGGAGTATGGGCGAGGGTAACACGGAGTCGAGCTTCTAGGTACTCGCTCAAAGTAGCGAGTGACGAGACTTGCCTTATCTTCCTTGACCGACCTATGAATCTTGCGGGATCAGAGGGCTGCCGTCTCGAACAACTTGAGCATTTCTTTCCATCCACGGTTGAAGCTGACTGCGTAGAGAGGCCGCAGCATGACCGTGTCTGTCTGTCCTCCGACCGGCCGGGAACAGGATATTCCCAGGGACATAATGTGCCAAATGCAGAGACCATGGTCTGTTTGCGTTCTGACGAAAGCTGTTTGCACATAGCCGTGCGCAAATGGTCAATCTGGTAAGTCGACATGCATTCATGTGATACTCCCCAGATTCGGGCATGGTCTCTCTGGCACAGTCTCCTATAGATGAGATGATTTGAACTGGACTGGATGTAATCTCTATATATACACATAACATTTTCCTGGGCATTTTCTTAAGTGGCCTCTAGGATTTCTGGACCTGTGGTACCTCCAACGTAATCCATCTAGCGTTCTCCAAATGTATCCCATATTAGCGATTGAGATGGCCGAATCTTGTGTGGATTTCTGGTTCCATGTCCAGGCGAAAGAGCGGCATGGTGGGACAAAGTATGGACGTACTGGAGAGGCTGATCGTCACCGGGCAGTGGACCGAACCGCAGAGGGAGATGGTGGCTAACAAATTGTGAGTTTTTTTTTTGGTTCCAGAGCTGTTAGAGTAGCGTGGTTGTAGGTTGGATTAGCTACGGTTCGTAGTAGCGATACTTTGTACGTTTTGAGGCGCCGCGATTGCGAGACTATGTAGCCTCTGCTGACAATGATAAGCAATATGAGTTGTGAGTTGCCATACCAGCTGATGTAGCCTTTGCACAAGCTGCACTCGAGATGCAGGTTAGGTGCCGGGTGAGCCTCACGTTTAGTAGCCTCGAGTATTATGTAGTACCAGGCCTTAGTTAGCCCTGATACAGGCGTCACCCCTCTGTTAGAGGGAGGCTTAGGGCACCTAGAAGGGTACAGGACTGCACGTGAAAAGGATTTCCAGTGGCTGCCTAAGGACCGTGCTCGGGTGGCTTACACCGAGTGGCCCAAGCCCCTTAACCCAGCACAGGGCAACTTTGACCCTGCAATGATCATGGGCGTAATGATAATGCTAACTGCTAACAAATGCTACCGCTAACCATAAAATTTCGTAGGGCTGAAAAAAAGTGGCGGCGCCTCTCGCTGCCCGCAGGCTGATTTAGATTTCTCCCTTCAGCAATTTCTTTTCTGTCCTCGCAAACCACTCTCCCCTCTCCCCTCCTGCTTTTTCATAGGGAACTTCAGGACGCTGATATCGGTGCCGCGATCGATACAGCAGGTGTCCTTTCCCTTACCTTTACGTGGCCGCGGCGTCTTCCGTTGCGACAACTTTTCTCTCTAGAACATGCCACATTTTGAAAGCCCTCCTCTGGCTCCCGCAATGGCTACTTCTGTAGTTCCGTCCAAGTCAAACTTCTCCGGAATCCCTCCTACTGTTGACGAAGTCAACGGCATCTTGAGGTCGATTCTCGACACCGACAGCGCTCAGACCGCTCTTGATGCCGCGTACGCGCTGACGAATCTTCTGATCCAGTCCGTCGGCATTCGGGCTCTGCTTGCTTACAACCTCATTCCCGAAATTAAAAAAGCGGCGGTTGACAAGAAAAATGCCTCTAAACGCGAAAGTGCCATGTTCATCCTGGGGGCCATGTTCGAAAGGTTTCCTCGCGAACAACCCCTCAGTGAAGTTATCTTCCTAGTGCAGGATGGAGGACTTTTCCATCTCGTCCTCGACGGCTTGGCCGATAAGGTATCTTCGGTCCGGGAATCGGCACAATATGCTGTCGACGAACTGTTTAAGAGCCTCGAGCCAGAAGCCATGGTCGCGGGCCTCCTACCCGCGTTGCAAAAATATCTTTCCAAGCCCACTGGCAAGTGGCAAGGCACTGTTGGAGCATTCACGCTACTGGGAAAGATGGCCGACAAAGCCCAGATAGGTGCAGGCTCCAAAGAGGAGGAACTGGCCAAGGACGTCTTGCGAGAGTCTATGGGCAGGACCCTGAAAGACCTCATCCCGGTGGTCGAAGGGGGCATGCATGATCTGAAGGCAGAAGTCGCCAGAGCGGCAACCAAGTCCATGAGCTCCCTTACCACTCTGCTGCAAAACGATGATGTCGCTCCTCGGATTCCTCTTCTCATCGAGACCATGAAGAACCCCTCCACGCCAACCCTCCAGAAAACCATCCTCGCGCTTTCACAGACAACCTTCGTCGCCATCGTCACCTCACCCGTCCTCGCCCTCCTTACTCCCTTGCTGGAGAGGTCTTTGAACTCACCAAGCACAAGCCAGGAAGTACTGAGGCAGACCGTGGTCGTGGTGGAGAATTTGACGAAATTGGTCCACGATCCAGTCGAAGCCAGGACATTCCTGCCCAAGCTCCAGCCTGGTGTTCAAAAAGTAAAGGATAATGCCTCACTTCCTGAAGTGCGCGAATTGGCTACAAGAGCGGTGGATGTCATGAAGAAAGCCATGGGCGACGACAAAGACGGGGTGACTGCTGGTCAGATCGCCCGAACCACCACTGACGACGTCTTGAAGGTTTTGGATGGACAGATTCGATCCCACGGCGGCATCCAGAAGGAAGACCTGGCCGTCTGGAAGCAGGGACAGGTTTATATCTCCGAGATGGTCAGAGAAGATGTCAACATTAGGGTCTTTTCGCGAATTCCCGGCCGAGTGGGACCCTACCTCCGATATCTGTTGCCAGATGATCAATGCACGACCATCGCAGAGGGAGTCCAGAAATTCTTCGTGGAGGAAGACCACAAGAAGTATGGTGCCCCTGTGGTGGAGAATCCCGACGAGGTCGAGGTCGTAAATGCCGACTTCTCTCTGGCCTACGGTGGCATGTTGCTGCTCTCCCATACCAATCTTCGGCTCTTGAAAGGTCACAGGTACGGACTTTGCGGGCGCAACGGCGCAGGTAAATCGACATTGATGCGAAGCATTGCAGATGGCAAATTGGAGGGATTCCCACCGAAAGATGTGCTAAAGACATGTTTTGTCGAGCACAACCAAGGCGAGGATGCCGACATCAGCATTCTTGAGTTTGTATCCAAGGACCCGGAGATTGCTAAAGAAGGTCGAGAACGCATCTCACAAGTTCTCAGCGAGGTTGGTTTCACTGCTGGTCCTGAGGGCCGACAGTCACACAAAGTCGGATCGTTGTCTGGAGGATGGAAAATGAAGTTGGCCCTGGCAAGAGCCATGTTGATGCGTGCCGACGTATTACTCCTGGACGAGCCGACCAACCATCTCGACGTTGCCAACGTCAAGTGGCTTCAAGAATATCTCCAGACCCATACCGAGATCACTTCATTGATCGTGTCCCACGACTCCGGATTCCTTGATGCGGTCTGCACAGATATCTATCACTACGAACAGAAGAAGTTGGTTCATTATACCGGCAACCTCGCGGCATTCGTCCAAGTCAACCCCGAGGGCAAGAGCTACTACACGCTGTCAGCATCCCAGGTGCAATTCAAATTCCCATCTCCGGGCATCCTTAGTGGGGTGAAATCAAACACCAGGTCGATCCTCCGAATGTCAAACGTCAGCTTCACCTACCCTGGCGCTTCGAAGCCTAGCTTGCATGATGTCTCGTGTTCATTGAGCTTGTCTTCCCGAGTGGCTATCATCGGTGCCAATGGTGCCGGGAAATCCACACTGATTAAGCTGTTGACTGGCGAAACAATCCCACAGACTGGCAAGGTTGAAAAGCACCCCAACCTTCGAATCGGTTACATCAAACAACACGCACTTGAACACGTGGAGATGCATCTTGAAAAGACCCCCAACCAATATCTGCAATGGAGATATGCCAACGGTGATGATCGGGAGGTGCTGATGAAGGCCACCCGTACCCTGACCGACGAAGACAAGGCTCAAATGGAGAAGTGGATTGACCTTGGAGACAGCACGCCCCCCCGGCAGCTTGAAAATCTGATGGGTCGACAAAAGTACAAGAAGACTTTCCAGTACGAAGTGAAATGGAAGAACATGATTCCTAAGTTCAACACTCAAGTTTCTCGAGAGACCCTCCTCGAATGGGGTTTCCAGAAGCTTGTGCAAGAATTCGACGACCATGAAGCATCTCGGGAAGGGTTGGGATACCGTATCCTCGAGCCCAAGGTGATTTCAAAGCACTTTGAAGACGTGGGCCTGGATCCCGAAATTGCCAACCACAACCAAATTGCAGGGCTGAGCGGTGGCCAAAAGGTCAAGGTCGTGTTGGCTGGCGCCATGTGGAACAACCCACATTTGCTGGTGCTGGACGAACCGACCAACTTTTTAGACCGAGACTCGCTTGGTGGCCTGGCCGTTGCCATTCGGGAATACAAGGGCGGCGTCGTCATGATCAGTCACAACGAAGAGTTTGTGGGAGCTTTGTGCCCGGAACAATGGCACGTTGCTGATGGAAGGGTCACTCACAAGGGCCACCTTGCCGTGGATCTCAATCGATTCGAAGACTCACGGCCTGGATCGAGCAACGTCAGCTCCGCCGTCTCGAGTGCCACTGCCTCGGCGGTCAATTCGGGAGTTGAGGACAATGGCGACATGAACTTCCGGGCCAAGAAGAAGAAGAAGATGACTCGAGCCCAGTTGAAGGACAGAGAAGTGCGGCGGAGATTACGACAGTAAGTTTGACTCCTGAACCTTGATTGATGAACGGGATGCTAACATGGGTGATTGCTAGTATCGAATGGCTTAACAGCCCCAAGGGAACGCCGCATCCGCCCGATACGGACGACGAAGCATGAGAGATCAGGCGGAATTGCAATTCCGACCGGGGTCTCTTCCTCCCATTTTTCTTTTGGTCATAGCGGTGGCGTTGGCGTTGGCGTCGATGTTAATGACAAGGCTGTGCATCAGAAGGCATGAGCGACGACGGGTACCGGCAATAGACGGGGACTGGCCTGGGTTATGGCAGATCAATAGAGGGCCTATGCGATTATTCGATGTGATTTGAACGATGATTTTGTATATTCTCACGACGATGAGGGTGTGAATAGACCGGGCATTGACTACAGTTTCCAGAGTCGAGTGCCGAGTGCCTAGTCGTGAATATCTCTTCAACGACAAGCACTTTGGTGACGATTAAAAGTTGATTGAATGAATTCAGATGTCTTGTAAGGGGTGTGAATGTTCCAGCTTCCCTGTGCTGCCGACGGTATGTGTGCAAGATGCCGAATATGGCCATTCGTATGCCGTGGATTCTGTATCGCTGGAAAGGAGTGGTGAGGCATGGAGACATGACGTCGGCTTAGGCCTTTTCCAACGCCGATTTTCTCTATTCTCTACAATTCTCAGCCACATCTAGTTACTAACCAAGCTGCCACAATACCAAACAACGACCTCCACCCTCTGAGTGTCAGTAACAGTCTGCACACCGGTCCGTCAGAATGAGCAGCAGCCTCGGCCTCAGCACACCTGACAAGACCACGACGGCCGGTTCCATGATTAAAATCGACCCTGCCCGCGCCGCAATCTTACAGGCGAATCTGCAGTCTGTACAGCAGCGAATCTCGGCGGCGTTGTCTTCCCATTCTCATTCCCATCCTCATCAGTCCCCGTCTCAATCTCAGTCTCAGCCTCAAGACCCCCGCCTACCGAAACATGCTCCCCGCCTAGTGGCGGTATCGAAACTCAAACCGGCAAGCGACGTGCTCGCGCTCCACCAGCCGCCGACTTCGCACACGCACTTTGGCGAGAACTACGCGCAAGAGCTGGTGGAAAAGGCGCGGGTGCTGCCGAAGACGATCCAATGGCACTTCATCGGCGGGCTACAGAGTAACAAGGCGGCGCACCTGGCCAAGGAAGTCGACAATCTGTGGGCGGTCGAGAGCGTGGACACGGTGAAGAAGGCGACGCTGCTCGACAAGGGACGGGCAGAGAGGAATGCGCGGGTGAAGCAACAGGACAGCAAGAACGGCCAATCGCATCTAGAAACATCGTCACGCTCAGCCTCGGAGCCTGAGGCCGACGCGCAATCGCAATCGCAATCACAATTACAACCCGAGCCACTCAGAGTCTTCATCCAAGTCAACACGTCTGGAGAAGAATCCAAGTCCGGCGTCTCGCCAGCCACCGACGAGCTGGTGACCCTGGCCCGCCACATCCACACTTCATGTCCCAATCTGCAGCTCCAGGGCCTCATGACCATCGGCGCAATCGCCCGGTCCAAGGCCACCACGGTCGAGACGGAGAACGAAGATTTCATCTGCCTGCGCGAGGCCCGGGACCGGCTGGCCCGCGACTTGGACCTCGACCCGGCCGCCTTGGAGCTGAGTATGGGCATGAGCGAGGACTTTGAGGGCGCCATCCACCAGGGCAGTAGTGAGGTTCGAGTCGGAAGCACTATATTCGGCGAGAGGCCGCCCAAGAAGGATGCGAAGGTGGTCGATGTCGACAATGCACATCCTCAGTCTAAGAGCTAGTAGTGTCGATGTCGAAAATGCACATCCTCAGTCCAAGAGCTAGTAGTGGTAGTGGAAGGTCGTCGATGTCGACAATGCACATCCTCAGTCCAAGAGCTAGTAGTGGTAGTGGTAGTGGACGATGTCGAAAATGCAGATCCTACTCAGTCTAAGAGCTAGTAGTGGTAGTGGTATTGGGCGATGTCGAAAATGCAGATCCTACTCAGCCCAAGAGTCAGTAGGTAATAGTGGTGGTGGTGGTAGTGGTAGTGGTAGTGCTGGCGGTGGGCGACGGTACCAGTGTGCTACGACTACGGTATACGGTACGGATACGGATATATTGCCCTGCGCAAACGAGGCGTACCTAACCATCCCCATCATGTGCGTTCGGCCTGCTGTTAAGAAACATGTTTACTGTTTACTGTTTACTGTTTCCTGTTTCCTGTTTCCTGTTTCCTGTTTCCTGTTTACTGTTTCCTACCAACTACCTTAGGTACTTTACTACCTCCCTTACTACCTTCGTGCTCCTGCTTCTGCTCCTGCTCCTACTCCCGGGAGCCTGTGCTGTTTATTGTACTGTTTATTGTTCGGCGTGTTCATCAGGGTCGTATCTATCTATACATCATGGATTGAGGTGCTGACTGTACTGCACTGCACACCATAGCACAGCTAGAGACCCAATTCTCGAGTGTGAAAGCGAAAGTGAACGCGAAAGGATGGCGAGAATGAATGTCATGGACTATAGATTTAGACATGGACATATTTGGACTTAAACTTAGACTTGGGTGGACTTCGACATAGACTTCGGATATACATATACACATCGACAGACACATACACATCGACAGACACATACACATCGACAGACACATACACATCGACAGACACATACACATCGACAGACACATACA